ATATATACATACATACATACATACATACATACATACACACATACACATATATATATATGGGTTATAAACCACTTACTAAGTGGCATGCACATCCATGTGGGTTAGACGAATTCCGGGAATCCATTTGCCCCCGGTTGACCACGGCTGGCCATATCCCCCTTTGTTCTCAATCAAATCACCTCTACTTTTGTTCGTTATATCTAGCAAAATGCCCATGCTTGTTTGATCCCCAAATGTCGTTGATGACCCAAATTAACGATTAATGCTACTGAAACGGTTAACCATTAATTGGGGTAATTATGAAGGATAACCATAATTACTGCTATGTATATATATATATATATGGTTAACCATTATTCCCTTCATTGCGGGATAGGGGTTCATACCCATTGCGGGGGCTTTCGATCAGAGATTTGTTCCCTCATTTCCAGCACCAGTCGGACATCGGTCGGACACAAACAAGGATACATCAGGTTGACCATGAAGAGCCAAGAAAATTATCATAAATGGGTTATATAATGTTATAATGTGGTATAATGTGGTATAATGTGGTATAATGTGGTATAATGTGGTATAATGTGGTATATATATAGCATTCATAAGTACCCCGATTGATGGTTATATAACCATTTCAGTACAATTAATCGTTGGTTCGGGGTCATCATTATATAACCAATGGAAATTTCCAAAGTCATGGGGTACCCTGCAATCATCCAGTTGTCATGGATGACCATTTTAGTATCAAAAACCCATGGTTATTGGTTTCATAATTGATGATCAATGGTTTTGACAATGTATGAATAATGGATGAATCATAGGAATTACCCTCTGGTAAACTAACATAACTATGGAAAATCACCATTTTTAATGGGAAAATCCAATATAAATGGTCATTTTCAATAGCAAACTGTTAAATTTCCAGAGGGTACCGCCCTAAACCTGCCACCATGATCTGATGGATGATTCCATGGGGATTCCTAAACCTATCACTGGGGATACCCCGATCGACGTCTGAGCGCGCCATGTCGAAACTAGGTCCAGCGATGATGGCGCCGATGCCCGGGAAGTGCCTGGATCCTCGTGACGTGGCCCAACTTTAGTGATTCGTATGGCATCATTTATATTATATATTTGTATATATATATATACATGTATATATATATATATACATGTATATATATATATAAGTGTACATTGAACTGGCAACGCCGGTTCAGATTTCGCGCTTCACCCGATAAACCCATATCCGTGGAGTCCTTGCACTCCCGGAATGGAAGAGAAGAGAGAGGGTTTGAAAACAGAAGACTTGGAAACGGAAGAGGAAAGATTTGGAATGGAAGAGGGAAGACTTGACACGGATGGCTTGAAAACGGAAAAACTTGACCCTCAAAGATTTATATGTTGGGTGGGCCAACATCCCCATCCCATCTTGCGGTCCGCCGTTTTTTTTCATCGGCGTTTGGAAGCAGAGAGCAATGCGGACAGGCGTGACGCTTCTTTCGGATACCTTCAACAAGAGGGCGACAAAGCTGACGATTCTTGCATGGAACCGCTCTCCAACCTACGTTCAACCACTTATATTCCCAATTATCCCTTGACAAATCACGCTTGCATCAAGCTCATCCAGGAAGCCAAAAGTCTTGCGAAAATCGCCGAAGGCCACCGGCATTTGCTGTCGGAAGCGACGGCTACGCTGTCTTGGTGCACGGTCTTGGGTGCTCCATCAGCCAGCTCACAGAGGGTTTGATTAATCCCTTTGGTGCGAAGGTCGGCACCTTGTATTGGCTGGCAGCGGAGGTGACTTCATTGGAGAAGCGTGCAGGAAGCTTGGTTTGGCGTGTGGGATCCTTCCATATGTCAACACTGAAAAGGCTAGGCAGCCGGACTGCGCCGTTGCTGCCTTAGAGCTTGATTTCGTGGCAGGCGACGCAAATGGCGCAGGCCTTGAATCGTGTTCGGATGACCATCTCCAGACTGCTTTGGGAAACGCTTGGAAGCTGGGGGATTGCCGGCCACTGATCACTCGATTTTGCGCATCTGGGGACTGCATTCACGGTGTTGCTCTAAATTGGAATATTGGAAGTGATTGGAGGAAAGTGCGGCAGGTTTCGTGTCCGGTGAAGGAGGAAGAGTTGAAGCTTCGTCCCAGGGACAGCGATAGCCATGTGGCACCGAAGGTGTTTTTGACGGGCAAAGGCCGCAGATCTGCAGTGGCCAAAGTGTTTCGTGCAGGGAAGCGGCGTCGGAAGTGAAATGAAGAGACACGTCCGGTACGAGCTTATTGGCGCTGGCCACCCGATAAACCGATATCCGTGGAGTCCTTGGACTTCCGGCTTATCAGCTTATCGGCTTATCGGCGCAGGCCGCTTTGAACCAGCCATGCCAGTACGCTGTAAATGAATATATATATATATAATCATATATATATAATTATATATATATATAATTATATATATATATATGCACACACACACACCATATCATATGTTTGTATAGATATATCAATTGTTTTTTGACAATGATTTCCGTTTTTGAATCGATACTTGGATAGATGTATAAACACACATGTTGTTGTCTTATATTAAATCTATATAAAGAACATTCTGTATGCTATATGTAAATAAATAATTAAATAAATATATATATATATATTATATATATATATATTATATATATATATATTATATATATATATATATATTATAAATCAATCTGTTTCATGAGAAAATGGGTGCAATCAGATTCTCCCAGGCGATCGTCAAAGTTGCCATCCTCCGACTCACCACCTTCCTCCCTGAGGCGGGTCGCCAGGGCATCAGAATCTGGCAGCGATAATTTATCTTATTTGATTTGTATTGATTTATCATCATCATTTTGTTGGAAATGATCGTTTTGTTCCATTTTATACTTGAATAGATAATTTATATTTGGATAGCCCCGTTATTGTGTTTCATTTTGTTGGAATTCCCGTTTCGGCCATCAGAAACTTGGGTCGGGGATTCAGTATCCCCTTGAGGCATCCTGTGCCTCACCATATGAGTTTGAAGGAACACAAAAAAATCACATTAAAAAAAAACACAGTTTTTTCTTTTTGTTTCATATCTGTTGAATTTAATTGTTCAATGTTTTTTGGCAGATTCTTTGGTATTTTCTGCAACTTTCATATCGACTTGCGAATGACAATTGTGGGTCCCAAATCTTTCTCACCACTTCATGGCATGGTTGGTGGGATCCAAAATGACCAAACAACAAGATTTCAGGTGTTTTTTGTGAAATATGGCTTACGGTATTCATAAGGTCCAGATTGGATTGCTCATCGTTACATTTTTTAAATAGATAATTTTTCTGAAGCATCTTGAAACATCATTGATAACTATAACTATGATTGATGTATTCATATATATATATACACATACGCTGCACACATATCAGTGGTGTCAATCCTACCTCGCAAAAAAATCAGCTTGTCCAGTCGACTTGTCCAGCTTGTGGCTGGCATCATGATTCTTTTTGGCAGACATCACTCCTAGGTCAAAACAACATGGAACAACATTTACTATCATTTTCCTTGTATTTTCTTTCATTGTTTATATTATCTTACATATCTTATTACATATCTCTATATATAGATATATCTTGTATGATCTTATATTTTATATGTCCTTCGATGATAAAAAACAATTACACAATTTTATTATTTATTATATACATTTTCCTACATTATCTTACATATCTTATATATTATGCATGATCTTATATTATTTTTATCTGCTCTTCTATGATAAACAGTTAAACCATACTATTTCCCGGCCATTTTCATTTTCGGTACTTGTTGATTGGGTACCTTAGGTGCCATTGATATAATGGGATATGATGGGAATATCATGGGATAATCTGGGATAATATGTCTCGACGCACTGAACTATTGCTGAATTCGTTTTTTTACCCAGGTAGTTTTCAGTTCCAGTTACTGGTTTTTGCTGAGTTAAAATATAAACACATGTGCCACAAAACCTTCCAGTTTCAATTTGGGACACATTCGTGCTTTGCAATGGCACACGTCATTGGAGCAGTTTGCTACATCATTGAACTGCAGTAACTCCGATCTGGCGCCACTTTGCGTGTGAAAAACGCATCAAAACACCAAAAGGGGGGGTAGTACTTCGTACATCTTAGTACCATACGTCGCCAGGTTGCGGCGCTCCTCCGAGGAGGAACGACTGGATCCTGAGCTGAGATTTCCTAAGTCATGGGGGTACCCCGCTGGATGGTTAAACAAAAAATCTGAAAATAGAATGAGTGATCTGGGGAGAAAATTTTAGGATTTTCCCCATCTTTCTGACATATTTCTGGGTGAAGTTGTAACCTGGCGTCGTGACGTTTCGTTGGAACGATGGGAGTTTGGGATGATGATTCCCAACATGACAACCATGAACGTGTCTAGGTGGGTTGAAACCATGAGTCATCACCGAGCAGAAAATGTGTCAAGTACGCTTGATGATCAAACCTGTGCGATCTGATTAGGTTTATGATCGATGATTATGTTTATGATCGATGATTATGTTTATGATCGATGATTATGATTATGACTATTAATATTATGATGATGACGATTGATGATTGATGGTTGATGATTGATGATTGATGATATTGATGATTTTGATGACTGATTATTGATTGATTATGGATGATTGATGATGGGTCATCAACAGATATATAGTGCAACTCCAATGAAATGGTCATGTTTCCAAGGAAGCTCTTCCAGCACGCTTGGCAGAGGCTATGGAGGCGGAAGAAGAGCACGTTGTCGCTCGTACTCGCCGCGGTGATTGGGTGATGTCAATGGGAATTCCAGGATCCTAAAATGGAGGTACTGTACCATATAAGGCCATATTTTGCTGGGATATTCCCTTACATAGGCCTTATATATGCCTTATATATGGTAGGTACCTCCAATTTAGGTTCCTGACATGGCCAGTGATGATGTCGCAGCCATTTTTTTCAAAGGTAGAGAGTTAGGGTTGACTGAAGCCTCAACCCACACTGCAACGCGGCCACCTGTGCCGTGGAATTTTTCAGCCGCAGATTTGCTGTGGCCATGCCCGCCATGCCCTGCTGTTTTAGCTTCTTCCGGTGCCGCTTCCCGGATGACCTCGATGAGAGGGGAACATTTCAGATCTCCTTGCAGAGACGCGCAGGTCAGGCGCTGGGCATCATGGCAGCCTACTGCCCTGACTATGATGGCTTGGTGATCGAAGGCTTGACAGAAGTGGGGCCACCAAGGGCCGGGCATGGGGGAATGATCGGACTTCCCTGGGAACACCAAGGCATGTGGCCAGGTTTACTCTGGGAACTTTAGGAGGAAAATCTAGTGAGATGGGTTGTGTCTGTGCCGAGAGCTGGTCGCTTGAGCAATGGGCCTCCCACTGGTTCAGATGGCTTTTCCTAGCTTGCTTAGACGTTGCCGTTCCAGCCATGCCCAAAGCATGTGCCAATCATCTCCGGATCTGAAAAGCCGAGGAGTCGGACACGGCCATTGCCCAATGGAACCAGGAACATCCTGAGGCGGAACTGCTGGCAGGTCTGGCCATTATGGAGGTTAATGGCCGACGCAAGGGCGAGGTGGGAAACTCCCATGGGGAATGTGATGATGGTCATGGGACCTTTGGGAACTTTGGGGAGACCCAGATGGGGTACTTTTTGGGTGAAATGACCTGGGATGGGTCCGTACATCTCCGTACTTATCCGTACAGTGTTGACCTCTTCACAACTTGCATCCAACTTCGGGTGTGGTGCCTGAAAATGGGGGGATTGACCCTTAAGTTGTGGCCATCAAATGGTGGGGATGTGTACTGATGACTGATCATTGGAAGGAATGGGGTGCCCTATTTCCAAAGCAGGGATTTTCATCTCCAACGAAAATACTTTTTCAAGTGAGGTTCAAAATCACCCAAAACAGGACATTTACCAATCGTCCAAAACAAGCTGAAACCTATTTGCAGAATGGTATACAGATACTAGGTACGGATGAGATAGGAGTTGTCGGAGGGTCCAGTTTTTTTGATTTCCCATCTCATGAGTAAAGTATTGTTTTTGCCCTTTGAAGGCGCCAAACTCCTATCTCATGTGGTTCTATTAGTCATCTGAAGGATACCTGCATCAAGTTTTTACATATATAATTATATATGTACAAATTATGTCAAATCATATCATATCATATCATATCATATTATAATATATATATATACACACTATAATATTTCATATTCGTATGATATTCATATTTATTATATCATGTTATGTTATGTTATGTTTTATTGTGTTGTATTATATTATATTATTTTAATATTGATATTTATATTAATATTTATATTGATATTTATATTAATATTTATATTAATATCTATATTAATATTTATATTAATATTTATATTAATATTTATATTAATATTTATATTAATATTTATATTAATATTTATATTAATATTTATATTAATATTTATATTAATATTTTATTTATTAACATTTTTATTATTTTCTTATATATATAGTTATATATATTATTATTATTAATTATTATTGTTATTATTTATGTTAAAAAATATATATCAATATTTATAATATCAATATTTATATCACTATTTATATTCATATTTATATTAGTATTTATATTACAATTTTCGATTAATATTAATTTATATTTATATTGATGTTTATATTACTATTTATATTTATATTTGTACTAGTATCTATAATGGTATATATAGATATATTATATATATTTATATTATATTTATATCATCTCATATTATGCTTTCTTATATTATGCATGATTTTTTCATGATGTTTCTCCCAGAAGTTCAGCACTGCAGGAGATTATGGCAGAGCTACGACCTGGCCGCGCTGAGACCTTGGAGATGCGGGTGACGCAGAACCTGACGCCGGTGCCCCGTGCCGAAACGCAGCATGTCAGGTAAATCAACGAACTAAAAATGGCAAAATCACCTTTTTTGATGGGAAAACTCACTATAAATGGCAATTTTCAAGAGTTATGTTCAATTACCCGAGGGGAAATATATTGGGACTTCATTAATGAATAGCAAACAGATGCAAGAATGAAGTGTATTGGATGATTTTGCGGAAGCGATTTTTTGGTTTTCTGTCTCGCTTGGAGGTCAAACAATCTCAAAGCATCTTGAAATGTCTAGAAGAGGCTTTTCCAGATTCTTCCAGCACTGGGGCGTTGGATTTTGGCTCTGCATGCTGAGCATGTGGGAGACCCTGCATGCTGACATGAGGTCAGGTCTACCTAGAGTTTGACTCCACTTGTTCATGATAGTTTCTTCTTAGCTTGTAGCTCGTTACAGCTTCTTAGCCCACAGTCAATGATAGGTGATTTCGATTCTGAGTTTAATTTCTGAAGATGGGATGATTATCGAAATTGGAGAGCAGGCTAGGCTGTTTGGAGGAGTTGAAGTCATCAGCCAGTATTCCATATCCGTCAACAGGCCACTTGAAAGCCTGAACTTGCACCAGTGTACTAATAAAACTTATCTGTGCTGGAGTTCAAAGAACGCCAGCCCTCAAGAAGGGACAATCTGGTTCAAATGAGCAGTGTTTGAAACACCGGTTGGTAGAGGATTTGTTTGGGGAGTATACCAGTAGTACCGCAGCAGGCGGTGGCGGAAGTTTCAAAAATAGGACACCTATAGGAGAGGTGAGTTGTTGTGATGCATGGATGGCAGAGCGAATCCACTGATGGACCAAAAGGTGGTTGGAGTTGTGTTTTTTGGAGTGGTTGCAGTGGTTGCGGCCACAACTGCTGGATGTAGTGTGGTGTAGTGCAGCTGTAGTTGTAGTTGTAGTGTAGTGGAGTTGTAGTTGTGTGTAGTGTAATCAATATAGTGAAGTTGCAGTTGTAGTTGTGATGTGGTGTACTGAGTGTAGTGGAATGTGATGTAGTGTAGTGTGCTGTAGTGTTGTGGGCTGTATTTAGCGTGGTCTAGTGTAGTGCGCTGTAGTGTTGTGTGCTGTAGTGTAGTCTGGTGTAGTCTAGTGTAAAGTAGTGTAGTTGTAGTTGTAGCTGTAGCTGTAGTTAGTGTTGTGTAGCGTAGTGTAGGGTAGGTAGCGTAGTGTAGCGTAGTGTAGTGTAGTTAGTGTAGCGTAGTGTAGCGTAGCGTAGTGTAATTAGCGTAGTGTAGTGTAGTTAGCGCAGCGTAGTGTAACTAGTGTAGTGTAGTGTAATTCCTGCACTGTAGCGTAGTATATTTGTTTTTGCATTCGTAGTGGTAGTGTGGTGTGGTTGTAGTTGTAGTTGTAGTTGTAGTTGTAGTTGCAGTTGTAGTTGTCTATCTATCTATCTATCTATCTATCAATCAATCAATCTATCTATCTATCTATCTATCCATCCTACTATCTATCCTATCTATCTACCTGTCTGCCTGTCTATCTATCTACCTATGTATCTATCTATCTGTCTATCTGTCTTTCTGCAAGTTTGAAAACAAAGCTATTTTGCGAGACTTCCTCAATTTTTGAACTTGACAGCGTTAAAAACGAAGCAAGTCTGCAAGACTTCCTCAATTTTCGAAGTTGACAACATCAAAAACGAAGCACTTCTGGGAGACTTGTGCAGAGCTGACGGCCTCGTACCAATGCGTTTTGCAATTTTTCCGGTCTATGTCTCTAGAGTATTGCGCCTGCCACGAAAAATTGATGCCAGGCCATACGAAGTGCTGCACCCGTCACGCAAAATCATCTCAGCCAACCTGAACATCTGATGCTCCAAAAAGCGCCCGGACCTCTTAACAGCTATGAACATGTCTCTTGTACTGCGCCTGCCACGGAAAATGCATCTTTGCAGATCCTCTTCAAATGTCCCACGCCTGCTATCGTTTTTGGAAATGCTAGAAAACCTTCACGTTTAGCTCACTTTTGACAAGGTCACAATCCCTTGCACCGGCCACGCGAAACGACATCTGAACGTCCAAAAGTGGTCCGAACATGTAGTGCTTTTCACATTTTGACCTCGAAATGTGCTTCGCGCCACAACGGCGTGCACTTTTTCGACATCTCAACTTCCAGAAATGGTCTACACTGAACGTGGTCTGTTTTGCACATTTTGACTTGGAAATGTGCTTCGCGTCAGAACGGCGTGCACTTTTTCGACATCTCAACTTCCAAAAGTGGTCCGAACATGGTGCCTTGTGCATTTTGACTTCGACATGTGCTTCGCGCCGCAATAGCGTGCATTTTATCGACATCTAAACTTCCAAAGGTGCTCCGAACCTGGTGTGCTTTGTACCTTTTGACTTGGACATGTGCTTCGCGCCACAACGGCGTGCAATTTTTCATCTCTCATCTGGCCACATGGCTCCGCACCCGCCGCTTTAGCAAGCCTACTTTTCGACCCTCCGGAGCCACAAATCATTGGAAAAAACACAGTGTTTCGTGACTTTGCCACCTTTTCGCGCACCTGCATCTTCTTTCTTCTCACGCTGTCTTTTCTCTAATCTTCTCTTCTTCTCTCTTCTGCTCTTCTCTTCTCTGACTCTTCCCACCTCTGCTTTTCCATCTGTCCAAATTGTCGGAAGTTTGACTTCTAAACCTCCTTCGGCTATAAACATATGAGATATTGGGAATTTACCACAATCCATCAAAGGAATCCTGTTCTTAACCAGCCAGGATAAAGGGACGACAAATTACCTCGCAATGACGACGCCGGGGATTTCCCCTATTTTACCCCCGTGGCCTAGCCATGGAGTTTTTCTTTTCGCTGGGAATATCATAGGAAACCATGAGAAAACATGGGAACATCCATTGTAAATGGAAGTTTATAGCTGGGAGCATCATCGAACTAAATGGTGGTTTTTCCATCAAACCATGTTTGATTACCACAGGGTAGAGGTTCCAGAAATGATTTTTGGAGACTTGCGAGCGGTTTGGGTCTGCCCATTGGAGTTGGGATATCAAAAATGCAGAAAATTCAGGAACTATCGATACAGGACTTGGCATTTCTTGGCTTTATTCATAGTGTCATTACCTATACAGAATACTATAGATACATCATGATAGATCTCCCATCAAACCCAGTGGTCACTGGGAGCAGGTGCAGTGGACAATCCTGCGCGAGGCGAAGCGTAAGAAACGATGCCTCAAGCGAGCCGAGGAGGTCGAACGGCTGCTGGAGCTCCTGGTGGTGGGCGGCGACAGGGATGCACCGGATGCACCTGGGCCGGCGAATAGCACAGCTGTGTAGACACATCCATCTTCCTTTGCACATTTTGAAAGCGCACCGCACTGTTGAAAATTTGGGTTGGAGGCTTCTCTTGCTATTCAGCGGTTCCCGCACACATGAACAGCATGGGTATCCAAGGGCATCCAGAGTTGATCTGGAATAGCGGTTCATAACGGCGTCATAAAGAAACAGTTGAGCTGTGGTAAAGTGGATCGATTCCCGTAAGGAATGCTGCTCCATTTGCCTCGACAAATTGCACGGCAGTGTCATCGTGAGACTGCCTTGTGGCCATCACTTTCACAAGATCTGCACAGCCAAATGGTTCGCGTCAGGGAAACGCAAGCTGCTACCAAGCAAGATTTTTGGTGCCAGATGGTCCAGTGACACGAACATCTACAGTAACAACTGGACCATGTGGGACGCCACCCCCCGAAGATGTGAGGTAGGTGTTTGCTAGTATATTTCACCATGCTTGGGGTAAACTATCCCAACTTTTGGACAAATCACCAGGGTTGTACCCACAAAAAAAAACGCCAACTCCAAGTTTGGCACTGAATTTTCGTGACAACCGAAGGACTTGCCAGAAATGCCCCTTGTGCAACCAGAAGATGAGCATCAGTGCGGCTTCATAATTCATAATGTTGCGCTGCCTAGCCTGAGAATGTTTCTCAATAGGTGGTGGATGGGCCAAAATTCTGATGATTTTTAATTTTTCAATAGTTTCCATATGAATAGACGAATAGATAGGAACGGACTTGATGATCGTAATGTTCGTTTTCCGATTTTTTTTCCAATGGATTCTTTTTTTCCGATTTTTTTTGTGAAAAAATGGCAAGGGTAGGGTTTTGACCCGGCCGACCCATGTAGTTAGGACTCGGGTTCCATCTGGAGCGGTGTGTGTCAAAGCGCCACAACACTCGTGGGATAAGCATCTGGCTATTTTCCAAGGAAAACTATGGTAAAGTGAAGGATTTAAGCACGAAGCATGAGGTTTTATCTAGCGTGATACAGAACGAAGAAGAATATATGGTTGTGTTTATTGAAGGAAGTTTAGAAGTCAAACTTCCGACAAAATGGACAGATGAAAAGCAGAGATGGGAAGAGTCAAAGAAGAGCAGAGAAGAAGAGAAGATTAGAGAAGAGAAAGAATGAGAAGAAAGAAGATGCAGGTGCGCGAAAAGGTGGCAAAGTCACGAAACACTGTGTTTTTTCCAATGATTTGTGGCTCCGGAGGGTCGAAAAGTAGGCTTGCTAAAGCGGCGGGTGCGGAGCCATGTGGCCAGATGAGAGATGAAAAATTGCACGCCGTTGTGGCGCGAAGCACATGTCCAAGTCAAAAGGTACAAAGCACACCAGGTTCGGAGCACCTTTGGAAGTTTAGATGTCGATAAAGTGCACGCTGTTGTGGCGCGAAGCACATGTCGAAGTCAAAATGCACAAGGCACCGTGTTCGGACCACTTTTGGAAGTTGAGATGTCGAAAAAGTGCACGCCGTTCTGACGCGAAGCACATTTCCAGGTCAAAATGTGCAAAACACACCACGTTCAGTGCAGACCATTTCTGGAAGTTGAGATGTCGAAAAAGTGCACGCCGTTGTGGCGCGAAGCACATTTCGAGGTCAAAATGTGAAAAGCACTACATGTTCGGACCACTTTTGGACGTTCAGATGTCGTTTCGCGTGGCCGGTGCAAGGGATTCTGACCTTGTCAAAAGTGAGCTAAACGTGAAGGTTTTTCTAGCATTTCCAAAAACGATAGCAGGCGTGGGACATTTGAAGAGGATCTGCAAAGATGCATTTTCCGTGGCAGGCGCAGTACAAGAGACATGTTCATCAGAGCTGTTAGGAGGTCCGGGCGCTGATTTCCTGAGAGGGGTTGCATTTTGGAGCATCAGATGTTCAGGTTTGCTGAGATGATTTTGCGTGACAGGTGCAGCACTTCATATGACCTGGCATCACTTTTTCGTGGCAGGCGCAGTACTTTAGACAGGTGGAGTGGAAAAATCGCAAAACACATTGGTACGAGGCCGTCAGCTCTGCACTCAACTTTCCATTTTGAAGGAAGTCTCGCAGAACTGCTTCCTTTTTGATGTTCGAAAATTGAGGAAGTCTCGCAGAATTGTTTCGTTTTTGATGCTGTCAAGTTCAAAAAATTGAGGAAGTCTCGAAGAGTAGCTGCATTTTCAAACTTGCAGTTAGATAGACAGACAGACAGGCAGGCAGGCAGACAGATAGATAGATAGATAGATAGAAAGACAATTACAACTACAACAACTACAACTACCACTACACTACACTACAGCTACAACTACAAATGCTAATATACTAAGCTACATTACACTACACTAATTGTACTACACTACACTAATTACATCTAATTACACTACACTACACCAATTACACTAACAACTGCAGCAGCCGCTGCTACCACAACGACAACTACAATTACAACTACACTACACTACACTAATTACACTGCAGCACACTACAGCTACAAACACAACTACAACTACAACCACACTACATTACACAACACTACGCTGCACTGATTGCATGGCATTACGCTACAGCTACAGCTACAGCTACAGCTACAACTACAACTACAGCTGCAACAACAACAACAACAACAACTGCGACTACGACTACGACTACGACTACGACTACAACTCCACTACACTACGCTACACTACACTACACCACCACACGACGCTACGCTACGCTACGCTACACTACACCACACCACACGATGCTACGCTACGCTACACTACACTACACCACACCACACGACACGACACGACACGACACGACACGACACTACACAAAAACATTACACTACGCTACGCTACGCTACACTAATTACACTGCACTACGCTACAACCACAACTACACTACACTACATTACACTACACTACGCTAATTTTCACTGCACTACACTACAACTACAACTACACTACCATACGCTAGACTACACTCGACTACACTATACCACACTACACTACACAACACTACACGACATTACGCTGCATTGCGCTACACTAATTACACCACGCCACGACTACAACTGCAACTGCGCTTGCAAATACACTTTTTTTCACTACATTGCAGCTACAGCTCCACTACACTACACTACAACTACAGCTACAACTGCAACTACAACTTCAGCTGCGCTAAGCCCCACTACATCCAGCAGTTGTGGTAAGGTGACCACTGCAACCATTGCAGCCATTCCAAAAAACACAACTCCAACCACCTGTCGGTCCATCAGTGGATTCGCTCTGCCATCCGTGATTCACAACAACCAACCTCTCCTATAGGTGTCCTATTTTTGAAACTTCTGCCACCGCCTTGTGCGGTACTACTGGTAGCATATGATATGGACACATCATGTATTTATAGGTGGATGTATCCGGATAACACAAGTCCATATGTTTGATGATGAACCATGAGATTTTTGGTGGCTTCCTCTGAATTTTCAGACATCCATATTTACATGGCATTGTGTTTTATGGAACCCATAACCACTTCCTGTCTCACTCTAGTGCGGCATGCAAGACTCTCAGCTTGCTGACAGTTTAACAAAAAAGTCTCCACACTCTTCTCTACTCTGTGGTTCACACCAGTTAGCAAGTAGGTTAGGGTACATAGGGATAGGCCATTACTAGGGTGAACCGCCAAGTATGCCTCTGAAACAAAGTCTCGACTTTGTGCACCTTTCGTCGAGGAATAGTGCAAACTGACCCACAACCGGATTATTTTGTGGAGAAAAACGGGAGTGCTATTTGCTGATCAAGCCATGTGTAGGGCTGCTAGCCGGGAGTCCAACATTGTTGATTTTCTTTACTTGCATGTTGTAAGAGATTCTGTATGTATCTATTATGAGTGTGTCACATATATACATATGATGTATACACATACACATACAATATAGTATAGTGTGTATAATATATATATGTATGTATGTATGTATGTAATTAATGTATGTATGTATGTATGTATGTATGTATGTATGTATGTATATATGTATGTATGTATGTATGTAATTAATGTATGTATGTATGTATGTATGTATGTATGTATGTATGTATGTATGTATATGTACAGTTTTGTTATAGTTGCATTGACGTATTTTTTTCGGGCAATTCATCTTAGAATCTCGGGACTTGAAAGGGGCGTTTTTTTTTTTCGAAAACAGGCTGAGCGCAGAGGCAGGGGGGCAGCTGTGAAACCATTTTCTGAGCCCTTCATTGTGCTTGGTGTGAGGAAGTGGGATTCTCTTGAGGTGTGTAACAAAATCATGGTGGGTAGAGGCTGGTGTAGCTTGCTGAATTGCTTGCGGTCTGTTCATCTACTATTGGTTGCTGTCGCATACATTAAAACATCACGTTATGATTTTTTTCCAGCAATTGCCAGTAATAGTTCTTTTTTCGGATTGGTACCATTTGCTGCAAACGCTTCGATTGATCATTGTTTTCTGCGGGGGTTTTGGTTCGAACTCTGGGGTGTCTTCACTTCGAGTCCCACCATGGGTTTCAGAATGTTTCGAGTGATACTGGCAGCCACCACTCCCAAACTTTTGATTCAGACATCACAACAGCAGCTTTTGACCCTGACCCAATGTTGAGCCATACGTGTCACCAGCTGGCGAGCTGTCAGGTTGGCTGGAATGGTGGGGTTGCGGTCGTCGTACATATCGTTCGCAACGTAATTTTTACGACGAGAATACCAGACTGCCTTAGACCCTACGTGGTAAGAGCGATACGCTACTCATGAAACTTACCAATTGACGTCACCAAATTGCTCCGCTGGGTTTGGTCTCAAGCGACCTCCAACGGGCTTTGGAGAGGGGACAGGTGCAGCTGTGACTTTCAGAGAAGGATCACGTCAGCCAAAGTGAGTTGCAAGACAGAGACTGAGTTGTCTCCTTCCAGGACAACTTTGGTCTCGGAAAGAACATCAAGAAAGAAAGTCGACCATTTGATGAATCCGACTTAGGGACGGTTGAGCAAAGAAAACCGGCTATATACTATATATATACACACACGCCATATATACACCACATATATATATATATATGATATATATATATATGATATATATATATCATATATATATCATATATATATATGATATATATATACTATATATATATATATCATATATCATATATATATATCATATATCATATACACCATATATATATATATACTATATATATCATATATATATAATATTATATACACCATATATATATATAATTACATATATATATATATTACACCATCTACACTATATAATAAACCATGAGTTCTTATGTGGTGAAGTCTCCCAACTGATGGGGGCCTCGAGTCATCGCTATGCCCGATGGGATGCCACGCCTGGGCAGCCTGGACATGCGGCAAACCACCGGCAGCTGGCGGCCACAAGGTGGGGTGCTTTCTTTATGATGAAATCTTGAAACCATGAATAAATAAATAAATATATATTTGTTTATATGTAATGCATATATATATATATTATACATATATATTTGTTTATATGTAATGTATATATATATATGTATATAATATATATCTTTTTATGTGCATATGTATACACATCATGTTGGACGTGACTAGTAAGTCATATCGTAGCTCTCAATTGAAGCTTCTTCCAACATGGGAAGAGGTCGAGAGAAGACGCGATGGCATCTCCCACAAGCAGTGCATGGATCGCCGTCAGGTGCGATGGACTTGGGTCTGACCTAGGACTTAGAGGATAGCCTCAAGCTGACTAAAGGGGGTGGGGGAATTCACGGGAAGCCACTCAAAGCGGTGATGTTCCAGGTGAAGCCTTCCCAGGCAAAGGGTCAGGGAAGACGTCGACGAGAACGAGACTCGGAAAAAACGGGATGAAACTGCCCGGTAAAGTAGTGACAAGCTGACAAGTTAGGCAGCCAAATGTGGTCCAATGTGGCCTAGTGTACTCCTTGCATCAAAATGAGTCAAGTGTATTCTGAGTCCAATGTGGAAGGCTGATCATCATTGTGACGTCAAGTGGCTGTGTGACATACTTAAAAAAGAGTCCGTTGAGCTGCTTTCCCACAAGATTTTCATTCAACGTGATCACCAAAGTTGGATGAACAAACAACAAACCTGGCCATGACAGTGGTCCCCTTTTTTCCCCCAAGGAACGCTTTCAATTCCACCGGAGACTTCAAGCGTCTCCGCAAGAAAATGACGGCTATCCACTCGGACGTGTTGTTAGCGCGCCCTGCCAGAGGTGTCGGATGTGTCGGTGAGAGGAGGAATCGTAGGTATGATGCACTTTATTGATGTTTATTGATGTTTGATGTGGAGCCAAATGCCAAGGTTTTCCTTTGGAGAGATTTGACTTCCACCCAATTTTGGGTTGCTTTGTGGCATCGGGTGGATCCCATATTATTATTAGATATTATTAGTGTCATTATTATTGTTACTATCATCAAATTTATTCTTGTTAATATTATCAATCTGATTATTGCCATTGTCACTACTACTCCTCCTACTACTACTACTTCTTCTACTACTTCTACTTCTACTTCTACTTCTACTACTACTTCCACTACTACTTCTACTTCTACCAGGATCATTATTATTTTAACTATATTGTTATTCGCATTGGTACTAAGATTATTATTGTTATTAATTTAATAATATTATTAACCATTACCATTTTACTTGTATTCAGTATTCATCATTCTTATTGATGATTACCAAGAATTTGCCCCGAAAGCATCACCAGCAGACCTGAGGCAAGTTGCTTCGCCCAAGACGCGCCTGCCGCTGTGGCCCAGGCGTCCGATCGACGGCCGAGGTGCTACGAAATTGGGATGCCGAAAGGGTTCATATCATTGCTATTTTTGTAGGACTTTTGGGGGTCACTAGATGTATGATATATTATGTATACATACATATAGAAATATAGAAGGTACATGAAGGTACGGCCCCCGAAAGATAGCCAAGTTGACGCAAATAACTTGGTGAATACGCTTGGGTTGATTAGAGGGTTATATATATATACACATACATATATATGTATATATATATATATCACTATAGTATTCATGGGGTTTTTATACCAACAGACATAACTGGGGGCCCCACCGCTCAATTGGGACTACGATCTAACATGTAACGAGTTGTTACCTTCATATTCGGATGTTAATTGGGGATGTGTTTGGAGTTTGGCAAAGCTTCAAGTGAACATAATATGGAAATATCATCTTTGAATGGGGATATACTCAGTGCTTTAATTCCCACCACATGATTTTGTTTGGGTTTGTCAAATGACGGGGAAAGGAGAAATTAACCATTGGGTTTGGGGATTCCATCATTCTCTGCGTCTTGGATGATGGCAACCCTCTGAGGCGTGCGGCATGTTGTACTTAGCACCGGGGGGCAAAGCTTTGCTGCGGATGTTAGTATGGCAGTCCTGAAGTAAAAAGTAGCGATGGAGTTGGACACAACAGCTAGCCATGGTGCAGGTCCGGCGAAAGAGGACGAGTTGAAAAGGCAGGGTTGATCTTGGCCGCTAACTGACACGTTTCAACGGGACGCTTCAAAGCTCACCAGGACAGCTTCTCATCCTGTGAAGCTTCCGTCTGCGTCAGCCTCTCACCCGGTGCCTCAGCCGCCGTCGACGCCAGCGCAGCCAGTGCCAGCGCAGCCAGCGCAGCCGACCCCAGCGGCACCTGCGACGGAGGCATCTGACGCCGTGGAGGGGCTGCAGCTGATGGGACCTTTGCGACACAAGGCCGAGAAGGCCGAGAAGATCGAGAGGCCGGGGGTCACCACATGTCACCACTTCTTCCGGACCGAGTGACTGCAGCTTGTACAGCTTGTACCTAGGAATGAGACGGTGCCCAGCAACAAGCCAGTTGGCAAGGACGGCCGCCGTGGAACGGTCCGTTTCGCAAGCAGGTGCACAGTTCTTTCCTGAAAGAGTAAGAATCTGCGGGCCGCGCACTTCACAGATGTGCTTTTGTGATCAATACCCGGAAACCCATTTGCCTTTCGGTTAATCATGATACCAGTGGTTAAACTAAACTTAACTTAACTCTAATGACTCTAATATACTTTAATCATATGGTGAACTTAAGTGCCGGGCGTTTCGCAGAGGAAGGGCCGAGCTGCGATCTCCCAGAGCCCATCAAGTGGCGAGCAGGTCAAGTGAGCGGCACATGGGGATGAAGATCCCGAAGATGTCCATTTACCATTCATTACAAGGTGGTGCCCCCAAGATAGCTAAGTTGGTTTATAACTCATTTATGTATATTTATGTGATGTATCTATAGTATTCATGGGGTTTATAAACCAAATTATAACTAGGGGGCACCACCTTGTATCTATCATTTACATTCATGAAAACTATCCCAGCTATCGGTGAACAGTTGGGTACTGATGCTGATCTGATGGTCTTTTGGTCAAAATTGACGTATCAACCGAACCCCCCCTTGACCTTGCCGCGAGGCCCATTGGTGCCGAGTGTGGATGATTGTTTGGATCGTTATTATACCGACTTGGTCCCTGCCGAAGATGTGCAGAGGATGCGAGTGATGCTTGGACAGCACGAGTCGGATTCGCAAACCAAATCAGAGAGTTCATGAAAATTGGCAATAATTGGCCAGTATTGTTCTGCGATCCAGTGTACTTGTCATACTTCCAAGCCCTGGTAAGCAAACATGGTAGAAAATCGTGTGAAAACCATGGAAGAAAATGGACAAATCATCTCTGAATGGACCTTGGCCGCCTTGGCCACTATTTCATGTATATACACTGAAGTCACTGAATGGTGGATTTTCCAGCAAGCCATGGCCTTCACCTTCTGCGGAAGTCCCATTTTTTCCAGTGCCAAGTTGAGGCTGCTGGGTGCACTTTTCCTTGTCTCACCTCCTGCATTGACAACATCAGCTTGCGGCATGAGTTTTTCCATGGGATGGGTCAAAACCATTCAAACCCTATAAATCATTCATACATATTCATAATTGTTCCCATATGACTGGGGGAATCAACCTTCATGTTTACCTTCATTTTTACCATCCCGGATTGTTTCCCATGGTTTTTCACTTCGCCAGGGACGTTCCTTATGTTCCTTCTGAGGATTTTTTCGCGCTTTTCCAATTCCAATTTCGAAATCACCAAGGAGGAGCTCCCAGAACTCTTGGGCCACGTGGCTTTTTCGCGTCGTTTAACTCGTCGTTTCGTCGCGATGAAATCTGGCTGAAAAAACGCACCGAGGTCGCCTCTGCTTTTTCCTGGTGACGGCAGAAGCTCGAAATCGAACGGAAGCTGATGGAGTTGATGGGAATATTGGACATCACCTTATAGTAGCCATTATAGACCATATACCTAATGGATCCTAATGGTTGGGTGATGTTCAATGGGGACATTTAATGACCCATGTGATGAAACTGCTGCTGGACATTGATGAAAGTGAAGTGAATGAAGTGAATGAAGTGAATCTGATGGACTTTGAATCCTGTTATATAAAGGTTGAGGCATTACTGAGACGACAAAATCTGAGGAGAAGTGCAATCAGATTGCCAAAGAGTCGACACAGTTCGAGGCCCTGGATTTCAATGACTTCCAGGCGTGACATGTGAGACTTACATAGACGATGAAGCATGATGAACCATGAAACGCACATGAAGCACAAGCGATTGTTGAGGGTGTCATGTGACATGGTTTTGCATGGTTTTGCAATGTGCATGCTGCATTTTTTACATCGTTTTACGATGTGCTACGTATACATCCAAATGGGAAGATAGCTTCACAGGATCGAATTTCCTACTGGCTCGGGGTTGTGGTTTCAAGCATTTTTCATTTTCAGCTAACTATGTATGAATTAATACTAGTAATCGTGACACCCATAAAAGTGACAATCATGAGAACACTGATAATCATGATAATCTATAATCATTAGCTTTGTCCCCCAGTTATCTTTGTTGGCTTATAACCCCCATAAACTAGTTCCTTTATATCTACGACCAGCACAGAATTCACCGGTTTTTTTCACCCGTTTTTCGCAGAGGATTTCTACGAGCGCTATGCACACTACGAACGGCAGAACCTCCACGGGAGATTGAAAAGGCGTTTTTGATGCGGGGTTTTCTGTGATGAAACGCATGGATTTTCGGCATGGAGCATCACCCATGAAGATTGATGAAGATTGTAGAAAATCATTTCGATTCATAGCTGATTTACCAGAGTATGGTCATAGCCCATTGCCATGCTCGAGTACCAGAGAGTCTCTCATCCATCTCTGCCTTCGAAGCATGATATCAATCTGATCATCCGACTATCCACTGTGTCAAATCACGAGCCCTAAACTGGAGCTTGGTTGTTTTTGAATATACATCCCACATGTACAACATCTATGTGTATTATATGTATTAGATATATATGTAATATATATATATATATCTATACACATATGAGTACTATATATATAATATAATATTACATAATATAATATAATATAATATAATATAAATATATATATATATACACATACACAACACACATTGCATCCATCCCCAGGTGGCGTCCCAATCCCTACGCCCGAGAAGATGCCGATTTCGCCCTGCAAAACATTCGACAAACCATGCGGCCCTTCAGCAGCTCCGACTGCGGCAATGGGCAATGGGCAATGGGGTGAGGGCGAACTCAGAAGGATAAGAAGGGGCGATGTCCAAGGGGTCATCAATGATGGTTATCACCCACGTATGAGTGAGAAAATAAGCCAACAAGTACCAAACAGTGGCAATTTTCATGGACAAAAGTGGCCAAAATAGTGGTGCTTGTTGGGTTTGAATCTCTGGGTCTGGGAGTGGCGTGTCGTTTGCCAAGCAATGGAACCAGAACCGGTGCCTGTGGAATCTGCTCGAAGCAAGGTGTGGTATCCACTTCAAATACAATGAATGACATCCGAGATCCTTGGTGGGGCTGGCATTTTTTTTCACCAAAAAAGGTAGGCCTTTATGTTAACCCAGGATTTTTCATCAATCCCTAAATTTTCCCGGGGTACCGGGTCAGGTTTGATCAACCCATTGATCTGAGGAAGTGGCAGGTCTTAAGCGACATGACTGCGACCATGCCCTTGCCCTGATTCGTTTCCTTGCAGCTTATCGATCCTGTGAAGGTGAGATGGGATGATCGGTGCTGATTTATTTTGGGCGGAAGTTTTCGTGATTTTTGGGTGGATAAAATTGGGAGGATTCAAGAGGTGTTTTTGAACTGTGATGACACAAATATCACATGGCCCAGTCGAAATAGTGGATTTACGCAGCTACAATAGCATGGTGATTTTCCATAGTTACGTAAACGTTTACCAGAGGGTAACTGTGAACGTTTGTAACTTGAGAACTCGGTACGTTTTTTTTCGACTCAGCCGTGACGGCGACCACGGCTATCCACAGGTTTCACCGTGGCAGAACTGGAGAAGCTGACAGAAGCATTCCATCACTGCGAAAGTGTCGCCTGGCGAATCCTCGAATCATTCACTGTAATATGATAAGGTAATATAAGGCCTAAATTTCAGGGGATATCCCCAGAAAATATGGCCTTATATGAAACTTATATGGTACTAACGTACCTCCATCAATTGGATCCTGAAGATCTCCCATTGATAATATGATGAATATCATCACACTAGCTGGGATAGAATATCATCAAACTAGCTGGTGTGAAAATTCATGTTAATTCACTAGAGGACCAATTCTGCGGCAAATGTTCCATAGCCTAAAAAATGAATCAGAGATGACTCGCTGCTTCTGTTGTTCAGAACCATGATAAAAAAACAAATCCCTGAGATTATCCTACTGTACTGGGGACTTTTTTTGGAGAACTTGCCGGAAATCTTTGGGACCATGGCGTCCATGACGTCCATCCTGTCCGCTTCAGGATGTAGTGAATCTGGGACCTGAAGGCCGACTGATCCGAAGTACGGAGCTGGCAAGGGGCCTCTTGCGCTTTGGGGGACTCTATTGCATCTCGGGGTGAAACAGAAGTGTCACCACTGAAAATATCACCCCTGATGGCAATATCGTACTATTATTATTATGATCTATTATGATCTATTATGTACTATTGTTGATTGAAGCACATCGACTAATCTTCACCACTATATAGTTAGTATTGAAATGTACATTTCAAGGCTGCTTCAATTTTGGTTAGTTCCTCATATTCTTTGAGAATTTTTCGGCGGCGATTTCACAGAGGTTTTTGCCGCAATTGCCTTTCCAAATCTGAGGTATAGATCACTTGCAAGCGCTGATCCATAATCAGTCGCGACACTTCGCAGAGAAGACGTTACCCGGCAGCGAGATTCGCTCCCCATCTCTGGTGAGGTTCTTGGATCGAAGATTTTTCAACGTTGAAGCCGTGGAAGCCGGTTTTTCCCATTGTTTCCCATGGTTTTATCCCATGATTCCCATAGGGATCTCATGGGTCCAAAGCCCATGAATTTTTCCCAATTTTCTCAGATTGAAGAAATCGGATATGGCTTTTACCGGGTTTTCCCATGGTTTTTCCCTCAAAATTCACGGTGGATTTTGATCCAAACTGATCACGAAAAAGGCACGGTATTTGCTTCTACGAGTTCCTGGTGAATGCACGACAGCTACGACAGATGGAACTTTCGGAGGTGCCGTAGTTAGTTGTTGTTGTTTTATGGGAGATTTTTCTGGCGATTTTCGGTAGGATTTTCTGGGTGGTTTGACATGATTTAACCATTTTTAACCATCTTTGACATCTTTTCTGGGTAGTTGTGTTTGGCCTTGTTTTTGGGGGAAATTCAAGTACATTTTTTTTTGGGGGGTTACCATCAAACAGTATGTGCCATGGTCAAAATAGTTGGATGGTCACTAGAAAACTGATCTGGGGAGACGTTCCCGATTTCATGGTGGTCTGATCAGAATCCATAAGTTTGACCCTCAGGAATGACTCGTCCCCTACAGATATGTTTTTCTTCTGCCCCGACAGGTTGCAGGATATTTCAACTCATTGGACACAGACAAGGTGCCTTGACAAACATAAACACACACTGCCATAATGCTGCATGCCTATGCATGCCTATGGATGCCTATGGTGATTGGTCAAGAAGTGAACATCCAGGTACCAGGGGTTTGATCTATAGCTGTTCGCCATATGACTTTTTGTTTAATGATGAAGACTTGAAGAATGTCATTGCCATCACCAGATCTGTGGCGACAGGACGGCTTCATCTGGGGTCAGGAGACTCGTTCGTTCTTTGTCGGGGCTTCCATGGCTTCCATGGCTTCCATGGGTTTTTTCTGTGCAGGACCTACAGGCACTCTGTAAACCTCTGGGCTTTAGTCTCTTAACTGCGGAGCTCAACGAACTCAAGGACCTGCAGCGCCATAAAAAGCGGCATGGCTGTCGATATCTTATCCACTGGATCTATTTGGAACGGAATATCTATGAATATCTTGAATCGGATCTATTTGGAACGGAATATCCACAGAATCACAGCTACCCACAGAAAGTGAGACTTTTAAAGCTCCGCAGTGCCAGGGCAACAAGGGCGTCACAGACGATTCTCGCCTTTCCTTCGATGCTGCGTATGACTTTGTGATCTACGTGCGAGAGAGGAGCCGGTGACACGGGAAACTGATCCCCCAAGGCCGCCCTTGGACCTCCAGGATGAATTGTCACGCATTGCCACGTCAATCCACGTCAATCCACGTCAATCCACGTCATATTTCCATATTTTTGAGCGCAGGAATGGCTTTACACAGAATGAGAAGGCGGAGTTTCTGAAGACTTTTGATCACTTTTGTGACCTGGTCTGGTTCCACTGGGTCTTATTGGACAGAACAGCAGCAGTTTTCTCAGAACTCTTCGTGGATTGGGGGGCTGTACCGGGATGTTTCAGCACCTGAGGTAAGGCCAATAACGAAATGCCCACGCTGCAGGCAGAGACCCCCAGCAAATTTGGTATTTGAGTCATTTGAGCATCATTCTACGTAGCATTGCTTTGCAAGAGATCCTTCGCCAAATGTCCGATTTGCATCAATTTACTCTGCGGAGGAACTTGTCGTTTTTGTCTTGTTGTGTCAAGAGTTGCCTTATTTTTTCGCTTTTGTTTGTTTTGATATCTGACTAACTCCACGGTGCTGAGGTGATGGAACTTCTCTCTTGGCAGGGCTTTAAAAATCGGGTGGAGGATGGCAGTGCTGAGTTTCGTGGACTTCACGGGGTCTCAAAAAAGATGGACTGGTTCCATTGGTTCCATTGGTTCCATTGGTTCCAATCCCTACCAGTTCTTCATAGTTCTTCATTAGTCCCATTTTCCTTTTTCTTTGTGCAGATATTTTGCCTTATTTTGCCATTTCTTTTCCTGTGCAGGACGTGTGGAAGATGGTTCAGCAGGTGGATTTCAATGAGAATGGCACCATGGCTCCTTGGCGATCGACAGATCCGACAGATCGCTCTGAGTGGATTTGGATTTGCATATCCCGCTGAGATTCCTATGGTTATAGATATGCTATGGTTATAAATATACTATGGTTAGAGAGAGATCACCAAAAATTTCACTACTAGACCTATGGATTTTTGCATCGCCTTGCACCAGGATGCGACGGAATACCTTCGCTTGATGCGTTTGCAGAAGGAGGTGAAGTTATCCGTCTACCGCAAGGTTTTTCAGCGCCTCGGCAGCCAGTGATTTTGCAGGGCGCCCCATATCGGATAGCTAAGTATCGCCCAGTACCTCTGGTGGCCGAGGCGACGTGAATTGAGTACGACGGCCATCACCAAGGATTTACTGCCGCTCAGCTCAAGGCATTCGGAGATGGGGATGGGATGCTCAGGACATGGGATGTTTCTAATGTTACCCTCTGGTAAACTAACATAGCTATTGAAAATGGTCATTTATAGTGAGTTTTCCCATTAAAACTTGTAATTTTCCAGAGTTATGTTAGCTTATCAGAGGGTACTAATTGCTACTAATATCTAGCAATATCCATTAAGATCATTAAGAACTGTTAATGACATGAATCTCATTGACCATTGCACATATGTTCAAGGCATGCATTATCAACTCAGGTTTCTGTTTGTTTCCCACGTGATGCTGGCCGAAGCCCAGGAAAGATGCTTTCCTCGAAGCGGACCTGAATGCGCCGCCACGCCGCTGGTCAAGCAGTCATCTTACATCATTTTCCATTTCCCCATCATTTCCCATCATTTTCCATCATTTTCTCATCATTTTCTCATAATTTTCCATCATTTTCCATCATTTTCCATCATTTTCTCATCATTTTCTCATCATTTTCCATCATTTTCCATCATTTTCTCATCATTTTCTCATCATTTTCCATCATTTTCTCATCATTTCCCATCATTTTCCATCATTTCCCATCATTTTCCATCATTTTCTCATCATTTCCCATCATTTTCTCATCATTTTCTCATCATTTTCTGATCATTTTCCATCATTTTCCATCATTTTCCATCATTTTCTCATCATTTTCTCATCATTTTCTCATCATGTCCCATCATTTTCTCATCATTTTCCCATCATTTTCCATCATTTTCTCATCATTTTCTCATCATTTTCCATCATTTTCTCATCATGTCCCATCATTTTCTCATCATTTTCCCATCATTTTCCATCATTTTCTCATCATTTTCTCATCATTTTCCATCATTTTCTCATCATTTTCCATCATTTTCCATCATTTTCTCATCATTTTCTCATCATTTTCTCATCATTTTCTCATCATTTTCCATCATTTCCCATCATTTTCTCATCATTTTCTCATCATTTTCCATCATTTTCCATCATTTTCTCATCATTTTCCATCATTTTCTCATCATTTTCCATCATTTTCCATCATTTTCTCATCATTTTCTCATCATTTTCTCATCATTTTCTCATCATTTCCCATCATTTTCTCATCATTTCCCATCATTTTCCATCATTTTCCTACCATTTCCTATCATTTTGGATGGTTTTTTTGGTGCTGGGCTCGCTAAATTCGCTAGGTCTCGTGGAAGAGGCCTTCATCAGCTGCATCTCGGAACAGGGGCAGGTGTCCTCAGGCCGATGGGCTGTCATCCAGTCATCCAACCGAAGATCATTAGCATTAATTATTGAATATAGTGATTAATTAAATATCCATCAATTGATAAAATAAAATATGATTATTATGATAATTATAATTATTAAGAATTATTATTATCCAATTAATTATTATTAAATATCCATCTAACAATTATTATGATAATCAATGGATAATTAATGGATAATTAATATTAAATATCCATCTAACCATCATTAGTATTAATGTCAACCCCGGATTTTGCTAAACCATGGTTTATGAAAATTAGGGGATATTCCTCCAATAGTCATAATAGAATACTTACATGGTACCAATATTTAATAATTACTAACATAGCTATTGAAAATGGCCATTGAAATAGTGAGTTTTCCCATTAAAAATGGTGATTTTCCATAGTTATGTTAGTTTACCAGAGGGTAGTTATTAAATACCAATTAGTATTAGTAATTATTAAATATTGGTACTAACTATCACATAATTATTATGCTTTTTTTTTTTATTACTAATATGATAATTAATGCTAATGTTAAATATTAATCATTATTATAGTGATATTAACAATTAGTATTATTAAATAATGATATGAATAATCATTAGCATTAGTACTAATATCAACCGAATATCCAGCCTCAAGGCATTAGCAGTACTGAATATAATGACACTAAGTGAATTTAATTCGCTGATATGATTTAGTACTTGAGATATATACATATATAGACTACATATAGACTAATTAGCTATTATATAGTTATTCGCATCATAAGCATATATAGTTATTAGCTGATGATATGCAATTTAGTACTTGGTAGTACTATTTAGTAGTACTATTTAGTAGTACTATTTAGTAGTACTATTTAGTAGTACTATTTAGTAGTACTATTTAGTAGTACACAAATTCAGGAAGAGCCTAGCAAATTTAGCTAATTAGTAGCTATGATTGAGCACTTATTAGTACAATCAACAGTAGTACGTATTTTATTTTTATTACTACAATTGTTGCAGAATATTTGGTTAATGTGGGGTTTCCCCTATTAATGGATGGTTTGTTTCCTTCAAAATCCATAAATAAAATGGATGATTTACTCTCCGATAAACTGACATAACGAACTGGAAAATCAACCTTTTATATAGGTAGAATCAACTATAATTGGTCATTTTCCAGTACTTAGTGGTTCTTAGTACTTATTAGTGCTTAGTTAGTGTGCAAAAAAAAACAATCATTATTACTGCGCTTGACTTTCATTGGGCTGAGGATTTACTGCGAAAATTGAGTTTGGGAGACAAAATATGATGGAGAACTTAGTTGGATTTCGCATCCTTTTTTTCTCCACAGATATCTAAATCATGTTAAATGCAGGGAAATTTCGGGAATGGCGACTGGACATTTAGACATTTAGCATATCATGCTGTGAAGCCTCGCCCCGCGAGGCCTCTCTTGGGATCTCTGGGTGAGAGTTGCGGAGCAGATCCGTAAGTTGATCCCCGTGGAGAACCGGAAACAGGCCACCTTCAGTGATGCCGAGCTGGATCAGCTGAGGCCAATCCGGAGGGGGGTGAAACGTGTTAAACATGGCCCACTGCTGTTGCCTCCCTGAACTGTTTAAACCGTTGCACTGCTAACCTCCAAATGACCCCAAAGATGGTAAATTGGGGATTTCCTAAGTCATGGGGGTACCCCCAAATCATGAATTTTTGGGATTTTCCATGGATTTTCCATGAAATAAACCATCCAGCGACCTGGGTTACCACCGGCAGGACAGCCTTTAATCTCCAAAGTTCCGATGGCTTTGTGTCGAAGGGCCAGCTATTGTGGATGCTGGCAGACTCCGGGATGCCGGTCAACAAGGTGGGCAGCTGTGCCAGTTGGATCACATCCATTCTTAGGCCTCAAAATTATCCTATCTATTGGGGTACTTAAAATCACTTAAAGTCAACACATTTATGTTTGATGAATGATATGAATGTGGAAAACCCAATGCCATAAAACTATATGACTATAAGAAGCCAACGTGAGATGGCATTCAGATTCCACCTGGCACCCTCCAAGCCATGGTTTCCCCAGTTCCAACGATTTACGCTGCACGAATTCTTCACTTTCCCCAAGCATGGCTGGTTCTGCTTGGTGCCGTTGAGGTGATTTTCATGGGTTTTTTTCTCCAGGGTGAGTTCACTTCCACAACCATGGTGAGATATACCCTCCAGCAATTTGACATAGCTATGATGCTATGGAGAATCACCATTTTAGCAGGTAAACGATTGAACCCAATGGGTCAGTTTCCACAGCTATGTGAAATTACCAGAGGGCACAAGTATATGGAGATGAACGCAGCATAGAAATAACGAAGTTATGAAGAACATGAGCTGCTTGTACTACTTATATATGCTCAAGAATCACGATGGTGAGATATATTGCAAGGTGAGGCCAGCATTTTCGATAGCAAGGTGTTGGCGATTTTATCACTTGGTGAATACCTTTGGGGTGAATCATCCCGCATCATGACTGGGATTCCGTACAATGATATCAACCGTTATCAACCACTATGATATGATTTTATTAAGCATGATCAAACCACTATTATGTGATTAATAACTTTTAATATTCTTTAATGGTTAATACTATATGTTATTGTCAACCACAAGTAAATGAAAACCATGATTAACCATGATTAAAACTATGATTAACCATGATTAAAACCATGATTAACATTGATTAACCATTATCAACCACTAGTAACCACAATTAGCCACTGAAAAGAAAACAACGCCAGGCCAGTGGACGACGAGACTTATACCTGAGCCTGGATCGAGCCCGGAGGAAAGCGTCACTCGAACAGCGAGAATGGTGTATGTCATATGTCTATTAGATATTTAGAGATATTATATGTCTATACACCTTACATAGGTACTCTCTATATAGGTGTATTACACATATATATATATACATATTAATATATATATATAGAATATATATATATATACATATTAATATATATATATATATATAGAATATATATATATATACATATTAATATATATATATATATATAGAATATATATATATATATGTATATAATATTTATATATAGATATGACGTAAATGTGCATAAACAATGCGTATGTCTATGTGCACCGAGGCTGGATGCCGGGGTCCCAGAGGAGGTGCGGATCACATGTCGCAGCTATTGCTATTTTCAGCTCGGTGAAATCTTCCAATTCGCTCATGGTTTATTATGGTTTGTAGTGGTTTATTCTCCATAATTCAGATCTTTTTCAAATTGTTCGTGCTTTTTTTTTTGGGATGAACACTCCCAGCTCGAAAGCTCCCCTTTTTAAGCTCAATTTGCCGTGTGCTTCGCGCCTTGCGCGCAGGATGTGGGTCAAATTGGCAGCCCCCGCATTCGCTTCTTCCCGGTGGTTCACTTGGCGCGGGCCTTTCTCAAGAACTTGACCCAGAAAGTCTTGGCGTCTTGGCCGCGCGGCCGTTTCGAAATCCATCCAATGAAGTATTAATCTATTTAATCTATTGATATAGCTACCATAAATCCGAGTTTTACTAGATTTTACTAGTTAACTAAACCAACTTGGGGGTTTCAAATATCTATGTTTTTTGAACCAGACTTAGGGTGATTGGTTGATCTGACGAATATTGTTGGGATGGCTTAAAAGCACCAGTCTAGATATGTTTACCTAGTAGTTCCAAACCAACTTGGCTAACTATGGGGCACCACCCATGGAAATGCTTGCGATACATTCCAGATTTGAACCTGGTGTTCTTCTCAGGAACGGGAAGAAGCGGCAATGAGGCAAGTACACAGAGCTGGCGAGTTGGATGGTGGGTTTGGTGGTTCACAGAATGCTTCCTCCATCTATTTTCAGGTAGTTTTTCTCAAGACCTACACCTAGCCACCCCCAAAAAAGGATCGAATTTGGTAAAGTCCGGTTAAAACAGTGGGAAATTCCACTTTTTCTTTTTTTTTTGGGGGGGGGGTGCTAATAAAGTCATTGGTTTTATTGATCTTCAAGCTGTCCGTCAGGGCCGTGCGCTTCTCTTCCACGGAAGTCATGGAACTTCGCCACCTCTTTGAGCGTGAGGCTTGGTGGGCAGATCGCGGAGCTATACTTGGGATATACTTGGGATATACATCGATATACCCCCAAAAAATATGTGGGTGATTTTTGTTACGATTCCTGGCATTAGCCCCTCCGCTTTCGGGGCTTTCTTGAGGGGTTCCGGCCAAATGGCCCCGCGGCGTCCGGAGGCGCAGGAGTGTATCAAGGAGGAGCAACAACATGACAAGGAGGCAGGTCGGCGGCCTAGCCGTGGATAGTGGAGCGATGACTTGGTGGCGAATGATTGAATATGACTAGAATGGTTAGGGGCTATAGAAACTATGGTTGTTATATTTCCACCATATTCCACCATATTTCACCATATTCCACCATATTTCCCATGAGCCAAGATGAGATGCACCAGTTCCGCTTGATCCGGTGGATCCCAGGACGAGCCACGCAGTCTGGGCACCGTCATTCGACTCTTGGGTCAAGAAGCTCGGGTGCCCATCAGCCGCGTCATTCTGATGACCGCACGCATCGGGGCTCGCATCAAGATTTCGCAAAAGGAGGAGCAATCTGTGATGAATTGTGATGAATTTCTGTGAATATCGATGAAGATCCGGCAATCATTCCTGCAACTCATCAGTTTCTCATCAGTTTCTCCGAATTGTCCGATGTCAATCTTTAGCCTCGAAAAGAGTCGAGACACCACCGCATCGCCGCGCTCCGGACGGCAGGAGCTGTATTTCAAGATCCGAGAGCTTTGCGTCCAGGACCCTGGGGAAACACATCGAGGTATCGACTTCCCGTGCTTCCTGCAGCTGATGTGGGGACTCCACAGATGGACAAATTTCATGGGCACAAAAAGGGCAGCTCTCTGAAAGACTTTTTTAAAGACTCAGAACTTGGATTCACTAGATCATAATAGCTACAATATGATGTAATCTCACATAATTCGACATATGTACATATATATATATTATAGATAATGTTATAATATGTCTATAAAAGACATCTTCAGGCCGCAGCCTCTTTGGGTCGTTTTGTCGTGCCTTGTCCCGGATGGAACGGCCACGGAGCGAGGCAATGGATGTTGGACTGCAACTTTGGCGATATCAACTCGGCGGCTGAGCGATCCCGCTGACACGGCGGGTTTTTTGAAGTGGAAACATGTTTCAGAATTGAAGAAACAAAGATGCCAAGGAAAATAAGAAGATCCAATTTGAAGCATTTTGAAATTTGGAAGCCCCACACAAATAATCAAAGCACGACAGGCGATTGAGATGATTGCAGATGTGCCCCAGGGCGCTGAAACGATTCCCAATCTTTAGCGTCGCCGGGTACGGCTCCGTAAACGCAGGGGCTGTCCCAGCACCCCGCGCGCCTCTGGACGTCCAAGATGGCCAGAGCCGTGTCACTGGTCGAGTGTGTACAGAGCATATCCAAATGTCTGCAGCCACAGAAGCTACATTGTGCTACAATTCCACCCCAAAATCAGTTTGATCCCATTAAAAGAGCGATTCATCTCACACTCATTGTCATACACGTATGAATATAAAATAATATAAATATAAATCTACATCATATACATAAATACTAACATACAAATTATGTACCCACATACCTATCATCATCATAAATCACTTTGAATAGTCTTGGAGCAACAGTTTTTTTTTCGTTTTCCAGGGGATTCCAGGTTGCATCAAAAACACCTGGACCCGTTGTGACTTCCGGGACCCACGAAGTGGAGACCCCGGCGTGTTACATGGCCATGTTTTTTCTGAAAGGGATGAATGGCCGGTCAGAGGCATCGAGGCATCGTTACAATGGACAGCAGTGCTTTATCTGGACAAAAGGCCGCAGTGCACTTGGAAGCTGCAAGTCAAGAATCCAATGCAGGCACAGCACTCTATATCTCTATTAGGTTTTACCTTATTATTATTATTGTTATTATTATTATGATTAGCATTGTTATCATAATCATCATTGGTATTATTCTCATTATCATGACTATTATCATTATCATCATCATTAACATTATCATCACTATTATCATAATCATAATCATTCTAATAATTATCATAATTATCGCAATTATCACACATATCATAATTATTTATTATTATCATTATTATCATTGTTAATACGGATACAATACCAATGATAAAAATAATGATCATAGTTTCTGCCAATTATCATATTTATTACCACTAGTATCTGGTTGGTGGTTTCAAACATTTTTGATTTTCCATTTCATATGTGGGATGTCATCCTTCCCATTGACGAACTCCATCATTTTTCAAGATGGTTAAACCATGTTAAAACCACCAACCAGTTATCTAATCATCATTCTTAGATTCTACCATATATTATCTAACCATCATCTTAGATTCTACCTTATTTCTATTATCTCTTATCCAATCATATATTTATTACCACTATATTCTATTTCTTCCAACTCCAATTAGTGGACTTAGCGACCCATCGAATCTGGATGGCGACTGCAGCGTTGTGGCTCCATGAATTTGAAATGCCGGCGCCAGAGCAGCCTCCCTCGATATGGATCGCCCGCCCTTCGGCCCCAAAAGGTCGATGGGGAACTGAAGTTTATCACCAAGACATTTTATAGATACTTATAGTTTATCATGGATATATATATATATGGATATATGGATATATATATATTATATATATGGATATATATATAGAATAGATTTCTTTGGGGATAATTATATGATATTATATGTATAGCTAAGTATAGCTAAGTATAGCTAAGTATAATGATAGAATAGATCATAGCAAAAAAATATAGAACCATATGCAATGGTGTATTCTCCAATTACCCACCGGTAATCAAACATGGCAAGATAACATAGTTGATTTACAGATCATTTTCCCAGCTATAAACCTTCATTTTGGGATGTCTCATTGCTATGTTTGATGGCGAAATCTCCATCAATAGCTCTAAGCATTGTTCGGAAGTCAGATCAGCACTTCGAAGTGGGAAATCCATCGGTCGGTTTCCAATATCAACCAACTAGCTGTTTTAATGTGGGAAATCCCTCAACACATCGTTTATTTTTTTCACGTCGATGTCGCCGTTTCGCCCAAGGTAACCGTCAACAAATCGTGGGATCTGGGAGCAGTGGCGACCGTGGCCGACCTGCGACGGGCGCTGAAGTTCGCCAATGAACGCCGAAGCCAAGGCGACCGCCTCGGTGTTTAGGTCGACGTGACCAAAAAGGAAAGATTTTTTTTCCCCATATGGGAAATCATATGGATGATATGGAATATATGGGAAAAAATATCAGATGATATGGGATGAAATGGGATATTACCAAAAAATATGAGATGATATGTCCCAACATATGGGAAATGGATGGAATATATGGGACGAATATATGTCATCTCATATTTTTTCCCTAACGGAATTGATTGTGATATTTTTGGGAATATGATATGATATGAGATGATATGAGATGATATGAGTCCCATCACCAACATAATAAATATTAACCCAACATTGGGAATCTATGGGAATATCTATGGGAATATCTATGGGAATTCACCTCTTAAAACGACAGTGATCCCATCCAAAGATTCATCCCCGAAGATTTGTTCCAAATCATGGTGGTTTTTGGAAGCATTTTATCCCCTACATCCACCAGGGTTTCTTGGGCTTTGATAGCGGGGAAGGGCGTGGTGATTTACCCATGGAGGTGTCATCAAATGGGCCATGTGGGAATACGTCCCACATCATGGATTCATGGATGATGATGGTTGAGTTGTGGATACTGTGGATTTGCCCCCAAAAGTATCATGACCCTGCCATGACTTGAGGCTTGAAAAAGATTGAAAAAGTACATTCCTCTAAAAAGTAGTGATTCTGAGTGTCTATGTTCGTTGAGGGATGGCAACCGTCATTTAAAGCGGGTTTTAAACATGGTACATATGGCCATATGGGACTGTAAAGTTTAAAAATGATGTTTGATGATGGTGACTTAGATAGTTTTGGATATTTACGTATTTTAAACGGTTTCACATATTTGTTGATATGATTCTTTCATTGGTAAACCATTTTGGTTGAAGGTCTTGAATCACAACCTAAAGTTTTCTCTTTTTAGAGGCTTTTCTGGTTTCGCTGGTTGATGGTTTCAACGGAAATGCTGGATTTCACCGCATGAACTGTACATCCGCACAGGGCGCTCTGTCTGTACATACGTATGTAAATATGTATATATATATAGACATACTGTATATATTTATCTATGTATATGTACTATGCAGTATACATAGTGTGTGATGTATTATGTGTTATGTGTCATTACTGATGTGTTGTACATATTTTCACACACACATAATGTCACATATATATATATATATAAATACATATCGATATGTATGTATATTACAAGATATCATATATGTGTATATATTTAAAAAAATGTAGTATGTACACCATATATGACATAGTATCTACTTACTGTATACTTTATATACATATTATAAGTTGATGAGCAGGCGAAGCTTCCGAACATCTTTTGAGCTCCTCGAAGGACGGTTTTTTGGATGGCGCGACATCCGGGAGAATCATGGATCATGGGAAAACACGGGAAAATATGGGAACATATGGGAAAATATGACGAAATGACGGGAGGTTTGAATGGGAAAATCAGAGGAACTTGAATGGGGAAGAAACAACTATACATGGACATTTAAATGGGTAAATCGGGTGTAAATCATACATCAATGGGCGTGTCTCGATTGCTGATGATGACGGTGGCGATGATGACGATGATGACGATGATGACGATGATGACGATGATGACGACGACAATGATGATGATGATGACGATGATGGTGATGGTGATGGTAGCGGTGACGATGACGACGACATTGCGATTGCAGGTTTGAATTATGCATGTTAGGAACAACGTAGTCACTATGATACTTCTACGAAAGCAACTAAATTGCGAACGCTCCTTGATGCCATGCAGCAACCACGGCCGTGGGCTGCTCACCTCACTAGAGGAGTTGATAATAGTGGATGTACTTACTGCATGCTACGCTGGCCCTGAGACTCTCGCGCACATACATCAAAAGAAAACGTATTAGCACTAAAAACAAACAAGAAAGGATAACATAATTTCGACAGCAGGAAGGGAAAGAAGGAGGGAGGGAAGAAGGAAGGACGGCAGGACGAAAGAAACAAAGGCCTAGCTCCAAAATGCTGCGTGCACCTTCCAATTTACACATGTTACTTTCAATGAGCTGCAAGTGCCACGCAATTCACATTTACTGTGCAGATCTTAGCCGCAACACCCTGCAAACACCATGCAACTATGTGCAATATATGTGCACTGTGCAGATGATTTCAACATGTTGCATAGACCATTCCACTTGCATCTTTGATCTTCGGAAAGACGCAAAATAGCATCCAATTTACAGATGCCATTTCACAAATGCTGCAAGTGCCATGCGGTTTACACGTGGTAGTTACAAAATGCGGCAAAAACCTTGTGATGCGCTAAATTTTGCCCCGGTATGCTGCTGTGCAAGTTTGGACATGCTGCAAGCATTTTACAGTGTACAGATTTTTGCTTCCGATCGCAGTAAAACAAAAACGTGTTTTTTCAGATCTTTTCAGAACATATCACTCCAAATCTTGCAAACATCATGCAATTTGCAGACGTTAGCTTTGGGCTAATGCAAATATTGTGCGATGGCAAAGTTCCGAGCAATGAGTTGCTGTTGCACAAACCATGTAGTGCACAGGTGCAAGCTGCAAAGTGCATCAAAATGCTGCAAATACCGAGTAATTTTGCGCACATACTACGCAGCCTAGAGATTCCAACACACCAAGCGACCAAAATATTGTATGCTGATTTGTTTAGCCTTTTGGTTTTGGCCAACCATTTTCAACCTTTACATTTATGGCTTTTGCACAGAGGGATGCTTACACACAGGGATGCCTTCGCACATGGGTGCTTTTACACAGAGATGCTTTTCGCAGAGACATGTTTTCAGACACACACGCACACAAACTTGGTGCTTTTACACACAAATGCCTTCATGCACAGGTGCTTTTTTACAGGGATGCTTTTATTCGCAGGAGCTTTTACACACAGATGCGCAGGCATTTCTACACACAGATGCCTTTACACAGCGATGCTTTCACACCGGAATTCTTTTACACACTACTGTAGCACATGTGTTTTTTTACACGGGGTTTCTCTTGACACAAAGTAGCCTTCACACACAGAAGCTTTACAGAAATACTCTTACGAGATATGGTTCCTACACAGGAATACATTTGTACAGAGGTGTTTTTCTACACAGGTACTTTTACAAAAAGGTGATTTTTGCACAGGTATTTTTCTTTACAAAGGGATGCTTTTACACGCGGGTGCTTTTAGACTGCGACACTTTTAGGCAGAGAAATTCTCACATGGGCGAGGCTGGAAACACAGTCTAGGGGAGGGTTCAAACCATTTTGGAATCAGGCTTCCACCCACTCTCATGTTTCGATTTACACACAAAAAATGCTTGCAGAGAAATGCTTTTACACACAAGCGCTTTAAGACATAAACACTTTTTTCACAGAGATGATGGTGCAAAGAGGAACTTTTGGACGCAGCCGCGTTTACACACAGGTGCCTTTACACAGAGATGCTTTCTCACACAGGTGTTTTGTCATACACAATACTTTTACACAGTGCTTTTACCGTCAGTTCTTTGACGCAGAGATTCTTTTACCCGCAAATACTTTTACACAGAGATATTTTAGCACTACACAATGATGTTTTTCATAGACAGGCATTTTTTCACGCACACACAGGCGCGTTAACAGGGATGTTTTTAAAACGCACACGCTTTTTCACAGAGATAGTTGTACACAGAAATGCTGTTGCACAGAGATGCTTTCACACAGAGATGGCTTCACACACAAAAACACTTTTCCACACACACACTTTTACACAGAGATGATTTTACACTGAGCAGCTTTACACGCAGATACCATTACAAGCAGAGGTGCTTTTACAAAGCAATGGATATACACGAAGAGCTTCGGATGTTTTTACACAGGCATGCTTTTGTATGATTTCCGACGGCGGGCACGCATTTTCGCGCCACAAGAGTTCAGCAAGCAGATGTAAAACCGCAATTTCAGCGCACCTTTGGCGATCGAGACGCATTTCGTGGGAAAGGGTTGACCCAGCGCAAACCCACATTGCAATTTACATTTCATGCGAGGAGGTTGCGTTTTGTGGACGCCCTAAGAGAAAATGTAGAAACACTTTTGAACTTATTGTAGGTGTCTTTACAGTAAGAAGTTGATCTCCACCTGCATCTTCACAGCTGCCACTTTAAAATATCAAATCTCAGGTGTTGTTTTTGGAAGTTGATCTCCGCCTGCGCCTATGTCTCTGCCACAATACACCAGCATATGTTCATTTGGTAGTTGTGTCACAGTAAATGATATGTGCCTGCATCTGTGTACCTGCACCCAAGCGTCAATACGTATTTATAATTATTTATATATGTACACTTGTATCTATACTTGTGTATACAGTAATGTATAGCCATGAGATTTTGTAGATGTGTTGAAAAAGATCATGTCTACCTGCACCTGTACACGAGTTGGAATATGAAAAGTAAGGATGTGGAGGATTAGTATTATTGGTGGTGGTGGTGGTGATGATGATGATGATGTTGCTGCTGCTGATGATGATGATGATGCGGGCATGGTTGATGAAAAAGAAGAATATGATGGTGAAGAAGACGAAGATGAAAATGAAGAAGAAGAAGAAGAAGAAGATGATGATGATGGCGGCGTTGTGATGATGATCTTGTTGTGATGATTATGTTATTTGCGCGACGGTGTTGTGATTGATGATGGTGATGCGAGAAGATGGTGGCGGTAAAACATGTTTATGACAAAGTATGTTGGCAGCAATGTTTTGGTGTCTGTCCTGCTGGTGTCTTGGTGGTCTCTCAATTGTGTTTCGGTAGTCGTTGGTGTCTTGGTGGCCGTTTGGTGGTGTGTCCCTAGTGTCTTGGCAGTGTTTGGTGATGTTTCGGGTGTGTTGCTCATGTCTTGGTGGTGTTTCTGTGGTGTCTTGGGCGGTGTTCCGGGGTAGTGTCTTCGTGGTATTCAAGGAATAATATTTTTTTGACAAAGCTGGCTCCCCCGTCAATACGAAATTGGCGTCAAAGGAATGAAACGCGACACTTTGCTATTTGGGGTTGTATGCTGGGTTAATTTGTGTATTTATTTGTCCAATATATTTTCTTGGGTTCCCAATTTTGATTCGTACCCGGCCCGATTACTCAGTATCAAAACTGACATTTTGGTGAAATTCTCAGGTCCATGGTTTTTTCGTGCAACTTTGATTAGATCGTCCATCAGTTTGGAGATTCCCTACATAGAAACAACAATCAGCTGGGCAGTTCGGGCTTAGCCCAGTGATCTATGGAAGATATCCCCATTTACATGGGGCTTTCCTGAAATGGGGATACCCCAGAAGGATGGTTTGTTTATGTTTGTTTCATGGAAAATCCCACTAAAACTCCTTAAAAAAATGGATGGCACCTCGCAAAAAAATGGCCGGCAGGATGCGAATGGAACACTTAGTCGTCCCCAATGTGACACTGAGAAGGTCTTGACACAGGTGAGGTGTCTGGAGAATCTGCATCGGGCTCGAAAAATCGTTTTTTTTTGTTTAACTATGGTTTATGGTAGATATAACATGATATAACTATAGTGAATGGGGGTTTAAGTTGGTTCATAAACCAACAAACATAACTGGAGGGCACCATCCTGGACGATGGTGATGATAATCCGATGGGATACACTCAGTGAAAAAGTGATGGATAGCTATGGGAGCAGCAGTGACCCCATCTATTTAAGCCTCATAAATGGATGAATATGGATGATCTACTCAGTCTTTCCATGGGTTTAAGATATCTTATTTTTCCCATGGAAACTGAACAATTTTGAGGCATCCAGCTGTTACCCAGCTGTTTCCGCCAGGGATTTTTGGGTCGTTTTTGGGTCGTGATCTCCGTGATCTCGCAGGCGGTTGTGGTTCCAGTGAAGCTCCATGTGGCGGTGCAGCGAATTCGGAAGCGGAAGAAGCCCAAGAAGTTGGTGGCTCCCAACACCAGCCGCGTAGGGAGGCGTGGGAAAAATCCATGGAGAAAAACACCAAAAATTTCCCATGGGAAATCGATGGGGATTGACCACGAGCCATGAACCATGGCTATTTTTTCAGGGTTGTGAAAGCCGTATGTTCCTTTGTTTGTTTTTGCAGTTTTCATGGATGAAGATGTGTAAGATGTGTAAATCTTTTTTGAGTTCTGGTCGCAGGTTGATGCCGAGCATCCAGGAATGTTTGAACAAATTTTGGAGTGACGAGGCCAGGGATCTGACTGTCAGGCCGCCAGGCCCACGCTATGGATCCTAAGTGAGACATAAAATGGTTGAATATGGTCCCTAAGTGGTTCTTGATCCTGTTGTTCCTGTTCTGATTCTGTTTGATCTTCCTATATTTTTTGTATTTTGGTAGGTGATTTTTCCGGAGCTGCTCAGGTGAATTCGGAAGATTTGCTACGCTTGCGAGTGGTATTTCGATCCATGTCAGAGGAGACAAAGTGAATTCGGGACGTCCGGTTAGGTTGGGTTGGATGGATATTAACCACGGTGATTAGTATATCACATATGAATATATATATATATATACATATGTGAATATATATATATATAGTATAGTTATAGAGTTATAGATGGTTATATATATATATGGATAAAGTCTTTTGTATATATATATATACAATATTATATAGGTATATGCATTATGTCTATATTGTCTATACATATCTACATATCACGTGGTAAACCCAATAGCAAAGCATGCCCCAATGGGATTCTTGGGCCCAGTCCGGCCAGGATGGACTGCATGTGCTTTGCAACTGCTTGCCAGAACTGATGATGCGCTCGGGCTTTCATACCTTGTCAGAAGAGAAGTCCCTTGGATCAAAGATCGACTCGTCGACATGGAAAACCCAGCATTTGTAGGTCAATCATCTACAGCACCATATTTACCAATATTTCTTACATTTTCTTTTTTTTTTTACGAGGTCAGCAATAACCCCTCGCCCAGGTGTAGAGAAGTGGTTCAACAAATCACCACTTTCGACTACATGGACTTCGAGGCGGTGCGATGGTTGGATGGTTCGATGGTTCATCAATGGACTGTTCATGGAGGTTTTCTGTGGTCGAAATCGCCGAAAGTTCGCCAGGATTTCTCAGACTTCAGCGAGCGCGCGATTCTTGCATCCTGGCGGATATGGATGAATGTAGACCCATGATGTCTGGATTCCCACTATGGCCACTACGGGATGGATGAATCCATGCAATTGGTCCTATAATCATTTTTTGGTCTTAGCCATAGCCCACAGCTCAAAAAGTTCAGAAGACTCTTTGGGCTCTTTCTATTTCCCCCCAGCAGCCTTTTGTGCCGAGGAAGAGAGGAAAGGCTACCAAGACTTGCTCAAGACGTGGGTTCCGAACCCATTTGACAAATTTGTTGAGCCCGCAGAGCAGGTTCGAGGCGGGCAGCCTGGAGGAGTGTGGAGATTTTGTGCCCTGAATTGCCTTGCACTTTCCCACTTTCCCCACCGGAATTTTCATCGTTTTTTGCACATGACCGGCTGGAGCCAGGCTTTTTGAATATGCTGAATGTGATTTGCACCCGGAAGAATATCCTCGAGATTTTGGACTTTGCCGGCTTGAAGGCTGGGGTTGGTCACTAAAAAAATTGAGTCCTGGCTTTGAATTCTTGGCATTCGACGATTTTGACCGGGCCACACCCGGGTTTTCCATATGGGTATGGGTCAATACCTATAGATACATTTTTGGGGGTTATTCACATCCATTTTAACCCAGCTATTTTGATGTGAACTACAGGGGATTCCATGGGTTTTGACACACTGCCATATGGATTTCGTGGAGGATGAGCTGTGCAACTCGCCACAAGAAATGCTACGCTTCTTGGCCGCGTACCAATCCTGCGAGGGCTTCACCAAGAAGGACCGGCTGTAGAATATACCCGGCCTGGTAAACGTTTACATATGGAAAGATCCACCATTTTCAATGGAAAATCCACTATAACTATGGAAAATCACCATTTTCAATGGGAAAATCCACTATAACTATGGAAAATCACCATTTTCAATGGGAAAATCCACTATAACTATGGAAAGATCCACCATTTTCAATGGGAAAATCCACTATAACTATGGAAAGATCCACCATTTTCAATGGGAAAATCAACTATAACTATGGAAAATCACCATTTTCAATGGGAAAATCCACTATGACTATAACTATGGAAAATCACAATTTTCAATGGGAAAATCCACTATAACTATGGAAAGATCCACCATTTTCAATGGGAAAATCCACTATAACTATGGAAAGATCCATCATTTTCAATGGGAAAATCCACTATAACTATGGAAAATCATCATTTTCAAGGGGAAAATCCACTATAACTATGGAAAATCACCATTTTCAATGGGAAAATCCACTATAACTATGGAAAATCACCATTTTCAATGGGAAAATCCACTATAACTATGGAAAATCACCATTTTCAATGGGAAAATCCACTATAACTATGGAAAATCACCATTTTCAATGGGAAAATCCACTATAACTATGGAAAATCACATTTTCAATGGGAAAATCCACTATAACTATGGAAAATCACAATTTTCAATGGGAAAATCCACTATAACTATGGAAAATCAATTTTCAATGGGAAAATCCACTATAACTATGGAAAATCACCATTTTCAATGGGAAAATCCACTATAACTATGGAAAATCATCATTTTCAATGGGAAAATCCACTATAACTATGGAAAATCACCATTTTCAATGGGAAAATCCACTATAACTATGGAAAATCATCAATTTTCAATGGGAAAATCAAATTTTCAATGGGAAAATCCACTATAACTATGGAAAATCACCATTTTCAATGGGAAAATCCACTATAACTATGGAAAATCACAATTTTCAATGGGAAAATCCACTATAACTATGGAAAATCATCATTTTCAATGGGAAAACCATTTTCAATGGGAAAATCCACTATGACTATAACTATGGAAAATCACCATTTTCAATGGGAAAATCTATAACTATGGAAAATTACATTTTCAATGGGAAAATCCACCATAACATGGAAAATCACAATTTTCAATGGGAAAATCCACTATAACTATGGAAAATCACCATTTTCAATGGGAAAATCCACTATAACTATGGAAAATCACAATTTTCAATGGGAACATCCACTATTTCTATGGATAACTATGGAACGATCACCATTTTCAATGGGAAAATCCACTATTTCTATGGATAACTATGGAAAGATCACCATTTTCAATGGGAAAATCCACTATTTCTATGGATAACTATGGAAAGATCACCATTTTCAATGGGAAAATCCCCTATTTCTATGGATAACTATGGAAAGATCACCATTTTCAATGGGAAAATCCACTATTTCTATGGATAACTATGGAAAGATCACCATTTTCAATGGGAAAATCCACTATTTCTATGGATAACTATGGAAAGATCACCATTTTCAATGGGAAAATCCACTATTTCTATGGATAACTATGGAAAGATCCACCATTTTCAATGGGAAAATCCACTATTTCTATGGATAACTATGGAAAGATCCACCATTTTCAATGGGAAAATCCACTATTTCTATGGTCATTTTCAATAGCGAACTGTTAAATTACCAGAGGGTATCATTGGTTCCAGTTTTTCCCAAGGTCATCTTAAATATCTGATTGATCAAAGGCTATAACATATCTGATTGTATCTGATTGTTATGTTCCCCTTTTGTCCCAGTGTTTATAAATATTCCGATTTAAAAAACATGACATTCCCACTAATTTCCCATTTTCTATTCCCAAATAATATAGAACCACTAGTCACTTAATGATCCATGAAAGCTCATATGATTTCTTGACCTGCAGGAAGTCTCGGTCTTGCGCAGTGCCTTCAAAAGTTGCGAGGAGCGGCACCTTGGTGCTTGCATTCGGAGCATCCAGCAGGATCAACGGGAAACGGGTCATTTTACCCATTTTACCTCTAAAATCGACACAGTTTTCCCCCCGTATTTGAGGTGTTGGAATTTCGCCTTGATCAACCTTGTATCTTAAACACAAACATCAAAGTCGTCAAACTTTAATTTTGGCTCTGAAGATGACGATTTTCCTCGGCAATATACCTAGATAACCATCATTTTCCACATTACCTTGCCATTTTTGGCACTGCCAATTTATTGACACCAGCACTGAGGGCTCATGTGGGCCCCGAGGGGCGCTTGATCACACCCAAGAGCCTGAGTGGTGGCCTATTGCACCTGGCCCAAAACACCTCCATTCTTGGGGGATTTCCTATTGCCACGTTGAAAAATACTAGAGGGACATGAGAACATCAAAAAACGCATGGGACTTTTTTTGCTGGGGGGATCTTTGACCATCAGCATGCTGAACAAACTGGGAACCCAACGTTGACAGATCGGTGTGGCTGCACGTGGTGATTCTTTAATGGGACAGATCCAACATTTCTGAACGCCACGTTGGAAGACTTCCTGGAGCCCTGGAGGATTAGTAGACATAGGGTGTATAGCCATAATATCATGAGATTTCGTGTGTATACATGGGCCTGTTTGAACATGGAACCAGAAACGACATTGGTTGTTTTTGAAGGGGAAAATGATGCTTGTGGATGGAATGGGCTGATCTCTTCAGCGATTCACTCTGTCTGCCTCCCCCGAAGGCGCTTTGGAGGCATCTACTTCTTGGAAACTTGGCGCGAGATGAAATATCGCCAGAAGGCGCCGGCGTCGTCGCTTTTTGTAGTCGTTCCAACATGTTCCAATCCGACCAGGATCCATGGGAGTGTAGATTTCTACATTTCTACGGTCACTTGTGGCCAATTCCCAGCTGAAAAAATGACCAGTGACAGATGTGACAGCCTTTTCCTTGGCAGATCAACCAAACTGGCGTGAGCTTCTACGAGTTCTTGATCCATGCCCGGCGGGTACGTGAGACGCAGCTGCAGCTTGTGGCACAAGCAGTGGAGAAGATCTGCTCGTCAGATGTGCGGCAAGGGTTGATTGAGGAGAGCTTCGGGGAAAGATCCTGACATTTTCGGATATGGTCATGAGTCAGAAATAGCTAATTACAACTGGTAAAATGGATATTAGTGGATGTTTATTCCCAAATATGGTAAGAATAAACTTTTGACCCATCCCCATATGATTAAGATTGAGTACTTGTACGTTGCTCGATTCCAAGCTTGTTTGTACTGGTGCTTCTGAGATTCGGCACCTAAAAGAAGGACAACTGGTGACAGTTGTCCACATGAAATGGCACGATTCCTCTCATGGCACGATTTCCCGGGAACCATTTCAGTGGAACCAATGCCCGAGGAGTTGAGGATGTTGTGCCGTCCACTGGGTTTCACGCTGCAAGAAATGGAAGTCACGGAAATCCTACAGGAGCAAGGCGGATGCGGATCACGGCAGTCACGGCAAAAATGGCAGAATCATAGAACAGTTGTGTAACTTCATGATGACTTCATGTGCAAATTATATATTAATTATATAATGTACGAATTACATTTAATGTAGATACACTAGCTTTAAGCCATTTTGACAGCGCTTTTTATTCACATCAAATTCCTTCCCAGCGAGGACTCAGTGAGCCTTTTTGCTTGGACCTTGCCTGGGATTTCGTGTGCCACCTTCGAAGTCGACATGGCTTTACCAAAGCTGAGAAGGCGCGAAAAAAGCACAGCTGGCTAGGTGAAGAAAGGCATCGGGGATTTTTCTGGCTTCATATGCAAATGATTCTCTATAAATCTGTATATCATATATATATATATACACATACACACATACACATATAGACACATACATACATGCATACATGCATACATGCATAAATGCATAGATGCATAGATGCATAGATGCATAGATGCATAGATGCATAGATGCATAGATGCATAGGTGCATAGATGCATAGATGCATAGATGCATAGATGCATAGATGCATAGATGCATAGATGCATAGATGCATAGATGCATAGGTGCATAGATGCATAGATGCATAGATGCATAGATGCATAGATGCATAGATGCATAGATGCATAGATGCATAGGTGCATAGATGCATAGATGCATAGATGCATAGATGCATAGATGCATAGATGCATAGATGCATAGATGCATAGGTGCATAGATGCATAGATGCATAGATGCATAGATGCATAGATGCATAGATGCATAGATGCATAGATGCATAGATGCATAGATGCATAGATGCATAGGTGCATAGATGCATAGATGCATAGATGCATAGATGCATAGATGCATAGATGCATAGATGCATAGATGCATAGGTGCATAGATGCATAGGTGCATAGATGCATAGATGCATAGATGCATAGATGCATAGATGCATAGATGCATAGATGCATAGATGCATAGATGCATAGGTGCATAGATGCATAGATGCATAGATGCATAGATGCATAGATGCATAGATGCATAGATGCATAGATGCATAGATGCATAGATGCATAGGTGCATAGATGCATAGATGCATAGATGCATAGATGCATAGATGCATAGATGCATAGATGCATAGATGCATAGATGCATACATCCATCCATCCATCCATCCAACCAACCATCCATGCATCCATCCATCCATCCGTCCGTCCGTCCATCCATCCATCCATACATACATCCATGCATATACACATACATATATATATATACATACACATGTTTGTGCTTCCACAAAGATATGCCAACACACACACACACACACACGTGCCAGTTGCCCCAGTTGTCCTTTTGCTTACCTTATCGAGTCACTAACGTCGACATGTAGGCGACCGATTTAACTAATACTAATTTATGTGTCTATTTGTATCTTGATTTCAGAGGACAATTCTCATGTGGAAGATACAGATCATTTGGACAAGTATGAAGCCGAACATCAGGAGAATTGTGATTGACACCAGCGGTTGAATTTCAACAGGATTTGGTCAGCCGAAACTCTTCATGATTGGCCCTGAAATGACACCCCGTTTACATGCATTCTGCTCAACTATGATCGAGGGAAACAACCCAAATTAACAAAAAATGTCCGTCAAAGACACTAAACTCAACTAAGGGAAGTGAAGTCCTAACTAAGACACTAAACTAAACTAAACTACACTAAACTAAATTACTGTAAACCAAACTCCATTTTGGCGTCGCTGATTCCCTGTTTTATGTACCTTGAAGTTCCGCAATGCCCAGGATGGGACGACATTTTTGTTCCGCTCTCATTAAGAGATATTCACCACTAATTTGACCATGGTACATATGGGGATGGGTCAAAACCCTGGTACCTAGTGAACCCCAAAATAGCTGGGATTTATGGATGTTCATCCCACTAAAAATGGTATTAATAGGTATTGACCCATACCCATATCACCATATATCAACCACAAAAATCGCCTCCCCATCTTTGCTCACGGCACATATCACCATATATCAACCATGATCCCATGGCCCATGGCCCATACCGGGAGGCCGAATTGCTCGAGAGCTTTCATCGCTTCCAAAAAGGCGGTGAAGACGAACTCTCCACGGTGAAAATTCTGGAACTCATGGCTTGGCATCTTGGCAGACGCAAACAGATGCAACTATGACTAATATGGGTGTGTCTGAAAATAGTGTACCCCTAAACCCAATGGTTATAATGGCATATTATAAACAAATGGTTATTATGGGTTAATGATCATTATCCCTATTAAATGGCTATTTCATTGGGAATATACCCTGTATATCATGTATGTGTATTACATGTTAATAATGTTTTGATATTTGGGACAGATGCATATATATATATACATGTATATCATTGTGAGTAGTATTCCGTATACATTAATTTTGACATATTGTCTCTGTATCTATATTTCATTCATCTACATGGAACAGTGTATACGTGTATATATATATATGTATACACATATATATATATTATATGTAAATAAATAAATGAATAGATAAATACGAAAATACACAAAATCTATTACACATGCATATATATATATGTATATATGTACATATATATATATATTTATACATATATATATATACATATAGATAGATACACACACACACATATATATAGTATCTACGTGTATATATATATATGATATTATATATATATGATATTATATATATATGTAGATTCTATGAATATGAGATGCACAACTGGTACGTAGCTGTGGAACTAGCCATGCTGAGGTTGGGCCTTGGTGGTTGCATTGAGAAAGCTCATGAGATGCTCAGAGACTTGGGTGTAGTTCCCGATCCACATGAAACACACATGAACATGCTTGGAAATAAATGGGGAACATATGAGGAATATATGGAACTTAGTTTGCTTCTTTTCCAAGTTTTTTTTTGTTAACTAGCTGAAACAAAGTAAGTACTAGTAGAAAAACCGAACCCACTGGTGATGGAGTTTGGAGGATGAAAAATGGCAGAAGTCGTAAACGTCAACCTTGCGATCTCGTCAGCATTTTCCCCTTGACTTGACGCTTCCTGCCCAGTCTCAGAATACCACAGCACTTCACCCAATAGACTTCTTTTTCTTCACAGGGGACTGCAGAAGATAAAGCATGAAAGGCCATGAAAAACCAGAAAAGACCTCAGCCGTATCAACCCCATGATGAAGCCTCCCCTTGATGAGCCAAATCGATAAGCATTCTCAAGGACGTGTCGATTTCGACAACAATGGGGTCTTGGGCGAGAACGAATTCCTTCGTCTCATGCGAATGCAGAAGGACTGACGTTTTTTAATGATGGAAACAGATTCACGGTGTCAGGTGTTTAATTGGCTTTGCTACCGTTCATCGTGCAGTGCCATTATTCACCCCGCTTCGCGTGGGGTGGCCGCCCACACCGCAGGTTTATTTTGGTCCGTGAGAGGGGCTAAGGGTGGTTTTCCCCCGTGGGGGCTCCCCAAGCTAAGAATTTTCACTTCCCCCCCCGTGGGGGCTCCCCAAGCTAGGGAATTTTCACTTTTCCCCCCCGTGGGGGCTCCCCAAGCTAGGGAATTTTCACTTTTCCCCCCCGTGGGGGCTCCCCAAGCTAGGGAATTTTCACTTTTCCCCCCGTGGGGGCTTCCCAAGCTAGGGAATTTTCACTTTTCCCCCCCGTGGGGGCTCCCCAAGCTAGGGAATTTTCACTTTTCCCCCCCGTGGGGGGCTTCCCAAGCTAGGGAATTTTCACTTCCCCCGCCGTGACAGCTTCCCAATGCCCAAGCTATGGAATTTTCACTTTTCCCTCCCTTGGAGGCTCTCCAAGCTGCGGAATTTCAAATAGCTAGATAATGACGCCTAGATAGTCCCCCAAATCCCGTGTTCTTTGAATGTGTTTCCATGTTTTTGCAATGGTTTCCTTCAAAGCACGGTACTTTACACTTTTGTCGCCATAAAACCGGTCGAAAACATCATGTTCGACAATGCTTCCAATTCCCTTATCTCCCCAACCGTTGAAAATACCGCTATTTACAGCGTTTTCTTCAATTTTTCCATGTGCCAATGCCGGTAGCCAACTCCAACATATATATAAGAAATCCTTCCAAAACATTATTTTTGACAGTGCTTTTCCAATGTTTCCAGTCAAACAGACGGTAATTTACACGTTTTTTGCCATAAAGGCAGTAAATCCTTCCAAAACATTGCTTTTGACAGTGTTTTTGTAATGTTTCCAGTCAAGCATACGGTAATTTACACGTTTTTTGCTATAACGTCAGTCCAAAACACTTGTTTTTGCAGTGTTTTCAATGCTCTGGCATCCAAAAACCCTGCAAAATCTTGCTATGTACAATGTTTTTTTCATTTTTGGCCGTTTTTCCATTGCCGGAAAGCTACCAAAACGACCCAAAATTCTATTTAAATACGCTCTTGCGCTCAGACACCCAAAAATCCTCGAAAAATGTCGAAAACACCACCGTATTCTGGTCTCGGTGCGAAACCGTTTTTGCCCCCCCCCAGCTAAAGCTGATATAGCGACTGCTATATTAACAAATGTCATTGAACATTTAGTGTTGCTGTTGCCCCCCAATAAGCACGCCTTCACCGCCAAAGCGGTGTGGGCGGATTTGTTAAAACAAAGTAATAGTGTTGCTTCGTAGACTTTATTCAAGCCGGCTTGGTTTCCCTCGGTTTCCTTCATGGTGTTCCTTCGGATTGAGATTTTACCATATTTTACCTTGGTAAGCGATCCAGGAGCAAAATTTGGAAACCTATACACTTGCCTACTGCAAACTTCATCTGGGTGATGCTGTCACCCGCAGTGACTTGGAGATTTAACCAACCAAAACCATGCTTGGTGATATTTCCGGTTATTTCAGTCAGTCACCTGACAGGGTTGGTTGAATCCTTTCGGGGAAACAGAGCTTTTACGGAGGTCGACTGGTCGCAGCATTGGCGGAATGTGACATCTTCACCGAGAATCAGCTGCTCGAGGCGTGGGGAAAACCGACCTGATTTATGGGTGATTCCTGTGTGATCCATATGAATACACACTACTAGAAGGTGTAGGAATCACCTTGTGTCATGGACATTTTTTCCCCAAACACTGTACTGTTAGGGCTGGCTTCTCAATGCTTTCTTAAGTGTGTCCGCCTTGCTGTTTGTATGCTGTGTCCGCCTTCCCAAGGCCTTGTCTCCCTTCCTGCCGCCCTTCCTGTCTCCCTTCTTCATTTCCTTTTGGATTTACTTTTTTATTTCCTTCTTCATTTCCTGCTTGTCGTCTGTCTTGTCCTCCTTCTTGTTGTTCTTGTCCTCTTTCTGTTTCCTTTTTGGTTGCTTTGTCCGCCTTGTCTCCGGGACGTATTGCAAACGCTTTCGCGGTTCCTATTGCTGCCATTTCATGTGTTTGACCGTGTTGCCCAAAACACTTTTTGTATCCAACCACTGCAAGATTTTCAACTTTTCAAAGGTTCACCCATTGGTAGCACTGGTTCCAGGTGATCACGTTGCGGCACGGCATCAAAACCGCGGCCGTGACCTTTGGAAGTTTCGCTGGGACTTCTCAAGGTCCCAGCGTCCGTGCGGCGCGCACCAAGCTCCCGGGCATCTCTTGGGATGCCTGGGTCGTTGTGGCGGAAGAGGTGGGAGATCCCACCAGTGGTTTTCCCATTGATCAGCAATAACGTGGATAATGACTTGGGGACCCAGTTTTAGGATGTTTTAGGAAACCTCCACATACCATGTCTTGTTTTTTTGATGTTTTTTTTCCCCAGCAAAAACCATGTTTTTTTCAGCATGCAATTGATGTTTTTCTTGAAGCTGAAGCGACCATAAAGCCTGGCCTCGTCGTCAGGCTCGGAAGATGACGCCCATATGGAACAGAAAGCGGGCATGTTTTAAGGCGGACAAAGTGGTTTCCGTGAGCTTTACCAAACACGTTCTCTAGGATTCTAGAATTGGCTGGGAAAACTTCCAGGACCTTATTCTCGATCTCTTAAAAAACATGTTGAATTTTGAGTGGTCCAAACAACCAGCAGTGACAAGAGTTGTGCGCAATGCTTTGTTTCTGACTCTTCTGTATTTCAAAATCTTCACTTTCAAACTTAACTATCCCTGGAAAATCCATATAGAATTCACTTTCACTGGCAACTCCTTTAGTTTCAATGATAGATCAATCACCAGTGGATGTTTCATCGTCAGGCAAACCCCCGAATCAGCCTCGCAGGAACCAGAAGTTCTGGAGCTGAAAAAGGCCTTTGGTGCAGAGCATCAGCTGCATTTTTTCTTCGCGGGAAGCAAGTGGTTCTGATCGGATTAGATGATGCGCCCCGCAGAGCACTTTCATATCTTTCATGACACTAAGGAAGAAGTTCCTGTAAGTGACCTTCTTTGGATGCTCCTTGATTCAGGCGCACGAAATTGCACTTTGCAAAGTCATGATCATGAGACATGAGACCTTCACATGTCAAAGATCACAGTTCTTTCACTCGGATCCATTCGGAGGCCTCCCGCTGCAGCACGCCGATGAGCGGCACCGCTTTCAGGAGGCCCTGGCCGAAGCGCATCGCACGGCCCTGGACTGCTCCATGGAGGACGATGCCAACGCGACGACTGCTCCGACGAGTTGCGCCAGTCCGAGGAGCAGCGGTACTGTCCACTTCGCGACCTTTCTGCATCTCATTCGGAGCTACCTCGAAAGCATCAAGCAGAAGCAGATGCAACGAGAAGAAGCCGCACTGAGGTGGTGTTTTTTTGTGGTATTTTTGAGGGGGGCCAAGTCGGACACATCACAACTAAAAGTGTTTGACAATGAATTGAGGTTTTTGATGACTGCAAACTACAGAAATCAGGGCATGTATGCATGGTAAAGAATCCGTCTGTCACGGGCGTAGTCGACTCATTGTTTATATTTAATTGCCTTCGGCAAGCCCGCCGGCCATAGAGAGGTGGCCCCAAGGGAGTTTGATGTGCACTCTAGGTGGAAGCCCGCGAGAGAAGCAGAAGAGAAAAGAAGGAGGAGGAGGAGAAGAAGAAGAAGAAGAGTAAGAAAGGAAGACGAAGACAAAGCCGCAAAACGGAAGCGGCTTGTGTAGCAAGTGCTGGCTGTAACAACCTATTGATCGTATACCAAATTAGTACCGTCCCAGCAAAGTAGCGCCAGGTACTATGTATGAGCCTCTGGCTTGACAGCAGACCGCTGCATGGAAGGAGACAGGGTGGAAGCGGAGAGAGATTGCCCCAAGAGAAGTTGATGTGCACGCTAGGTGGAAGCCTGAGAGAGAAGCAGAAGAGAAGAGAACAAGAAGAAGAGGAAGAAGAAGAAGAAGAAGAGGAAGAAGAAGAAGAGACGAAGACAGAGCCGTAGATCAGAAGCAGCTTGAGTAGCAAGTGCCTGCTCGAACAGCCTATGGACCGCATACCACATGAGTACTGGTCGATCAGTTTAGTACTGTGTGCGTCCTGTGACGAGTACCTGTAGACGGCTGGAACGCTGTAGGCAGTGTCATTAGCTACCGGCACTACCAGCTTAGTATTTCGGGAAGAAGGGGGGAAGGAGTAGAGGAGTAGAAGTAGGAGTAGGAGTAGGCGTTGGAGTAGGAGTAGGAGTAGGCGTAGGCGAAGGAGTAGTAGTAGTAGTAGTAGCAGCAGCAGTAGCAGCAGTGGCAGCAGTAGCAGTTGCAGTAGCAGCAGTAGTAGTAGCAGTAGTAGAAGTAGAAGTAGAAGTAGGAAAAGAAGTAGAAGTAGAAGTAGAAGCAGTAGCAGTAGCAGTAGCAGAAGCAGCAGCAGCAGGAGTAGTAGCAGTAGCAGTGCAGCAGCAGCAGCAGTAGCAGCAGCAGCAGTAGCAGTAGCAGTAGCAGTCGCAGTTGCAGTCGCAGGCGCAGTCGCAGGCGCAGTCGCAGTAGGAGTAGCAGTAGGAGGAGCAGTAGGAGGAGGAGGAGTAGTAGTAGTAGTGTGGAGGGGGAGGGGAAGGGGAGGGGGGGAGACTTGATTCAGACGACGCAAAAACGCGCAGCAAGAGAACAAAGGAACAAGTACAAACCAAGAACAGAAACAAGAACAACACCTTCCAATCAGACACGCCGGCAGGCCGGCGGATTCCTTGTTTACATTCCTTGCCTTGTCTAGCTTTCTTAAGATTCAAATCTAGTGCTTAAGTCGTGCTGCTTTTGTTGAGACGCAGAGGATGCCAAATGAGACACCGGTTGATTTTGATGGCAACAACGGGTGCAGAGCCAAATGGCTTCACGTTGAGCTTCATATTTGGTTCCGCTATGTTCGCATGTTCGCCATATTTTCCCATGAAACCACCTGGTCTAACGAGGTTTGGCGCTTGTGGCAATGTTGTAGCCAGTTCAATGATACAAGTGAACCTGTGAATTCCCAATAAGCTGTCTATGGACATTGAATACAATGATTGATCATAGACAGTCCTTGTAGTAGATAGATTAATCTGTGAATTCGTGAATGTGGCAGCAGATTGGGCACATATTTGCATTGAATCTTCTCAGACCCTCCTCACAGTGCCAAAAATATGACTAATAACAGCAATAACTCATATACCGTACATTAACGTACCATACCATTACCATTAAGATCAACACATGGTTGCGAGCCAGAAAGGTATGGATCAGCGAGGCGATCACCACGGAAGAATCCATACATTTTTCAACACACACCTATAAAACTAGTAATGATACTGATGATTACTCATCATCATCACCATCATCATCATCATCATCATCACCATCACCATCACCATCACCATCACCATCACCATCATCATCATCATCATCATCATCATTTTCATTTGACCATCATTTTCCCCACATTTACCCAAATGTTCCAAAATTTTTATCAAATTTTGCCCATCGTTTTGCTCATCACCACCGGCCCCATCGCCGGCGGCTTCGCCACGCCAGGAGTGTGAGCTTTTCAGCCACAGAGGTGGCGGACTTCCGGGCGATCTTCACCAGCCATGTTGCTTGGGGGGAAGAACCATCCAGCATCATCCAGCCAGGGTCTTATCTGGGATTAATCTGATTAATATATAATATATGAATAGTAATATTTCATCTTATGGGATATGATGTAGCAGCAAAATATACATCACATCTGTTGATTTGATTATGAAGATCTGGGACAAAATCAACAGGTATAATATATTCATATATGATCTGTGACCGTTGAAGCGGTCCTCGTCCAGTTTTTCGGATGTCTTTTTGGTACATCTCACCAGGGGCCAACGCCGTGGGTGGCTGGTAGTGGTACACCTTGGGATTTGAGCGCTGTGTGGATTCCATGTTCGAACTGCAGGTTGTTTCAGCTCATGTCCAAGCACGTCAGGAGCTTCAGAAGGACAGCCAAAGATAGACATATTCTGTGATGCCAATCATTCAAATAAGAATGAATTAAACCACTTCTGACACAGATAAAACATGATAAAAGCCTTTGACACCAGGATGAAATTCCATGTTCTTTTAGTTGTTTTGATATGAACACCAGGGTATTGTTTGGCGAACTGACCTACAGCCAAATCTGAAGTATAGTGACCCCCTGACTTCTGAGGGTCAGAAGGCCCTCTGACTCCAAGCGTAGCGGCCATTTTGCTGGGGAAGTTAGTGAGTTTGGGGAGAACTGGAGAACAGTTTCTCTATGATGATAGAGTACAATTTCTATCCTGATGCGCAGCCCTTTTTTTTTACATCATTTGTAGGAACTTGATTCGACTTCATTCAACCGACATTGGTGGAAATTCCACTGAGTAAATGGAGCTATGGAACCTATGGCCATGTTTTTTCCCCAACAGCGTAAGCTTGGGGTCTTCAGCCATAGTAAAGGTTCCGGAGCAGGTCGGAGCAGCCAAATCCGCCGGGAACCGGGTTCCGGGGAAGGTTCCGGGGAGGAGTTTCCTTTTACGGGAGAATCCCTCGGGGCAGCCAGATCGGCACGGCGCAAGGTTGGGAACCGGGTTCCCAGCAAGAGGTTCCCAAGCAAGGTTCCCAGGAACAGGTTCCCAAGCAACGGTTCCTAGCAACCAGGAAGAGGTTCCCAGCAAGGTTCCCCCCAAAGGTTCCCCAAGAAAGGTTCCCAAGCAAGGTTACCAGCAAGGTTCCCAGGAACCGGTTCCCAGGAACCGGTTCCCAAGCAAGGGTTCCCAGCAAGAGGTTCCCAAGCAAGTTCCCAAGCAAGGGTTCCCAGGCAAGGGTTCCCAGGCAAGGTTCCCAAGCAAGGCTCCCAGGCAAGGTTACCAGGAAGAGGTTCCCAGCAAGGTTCCCAAGCAAGGTTCCCAGGCAAGGTTCCCAAGCAAGGTTCCCAGGAAGAGGTTCCCAGCAAGGTTCCCAAGCAAAGTTCCCAGGCAAAGTTCCCAGGAGGAGGTTCCCAGGAAGAAGTTCCCAGGAAGAGGTTCCCAGCAAGGTTCCCAACAAAGGTTCCCAGGCAAGGTTCCCAAGCAAGGGTACCAGCAAGGTTCGCAAGCAAGGTTCCCAGGAACCGGTTCCCAAGCAAGGGTTCCCAGCAAGAGGTTCCCAAGCAAGTTCCCAAGCAAGGGTTCCCAGGCGAGGGTTCCCAGGCAAGGGTTCCCAAGCAAGGGTTCCCAAGCAAGGGTTCCCAGGAAGAGGTTCCCAAGCAAGGTTCTCAGGAAGAGGTTCCCAAGCAAGGGTTCCCAGGAATAGGTTCCCAAGCAAGGTTCCCAGGAAGAGGTTCCCAGCAATGCAAGGTTCCCGAGCAAAGTTACCAGGAGCAGATTCCCAAGCAAGGCTTCCCAGGAAGAGGTTGCCAAGAGGAATGTTGCCAGGAAGAGGTTCCCAGGCAAGGTTCCCAAGCGGTTCCAAGCAAGGTTCCCAGGAAACAGGTTCCCAAGCAAGGGTTCCCAGGCAAGGGTTCCCAGCAAGAGGTTCCCAAGCAAGGTTCCCAGGAACAGGTTTTGCAAGCACGGATTTCAGGAACCGTTTTCAAGGTTTCCAGGAACCATTTCCCAAGCAAGATTTCCAGGAACATGCTTTTCCAAGCAAAACAAGGTTCCCAGAATAGGTTTTGTTCAAACAAGTGTTTCCAGGAAGAAGTTTCCACGACGAGGTGTCCAAGCAAGGTTCCCAGCAAGCTGGTTCCCAAGCAATATTTCCAGGAAGAGGTTCCCAAGCAAGGTTCCCAGCCGCAGGTTCCCAGGAACAGGTGCCCACACAAGGTTCCCAAGAACAGGTTCACAAGTAAGGTTCCCAGGAAGAGGTTCCCAAGCAACAGGTTCCCAGGAACAGGTTCCCAAACAAGTTTCCCAATAACAGGTTCACGAGTAAGGTTCCCGGAAAAAGTTCCCAGGCAATGTTTCCAGGAAAAGGTTCCCAAGCAAGGTTCCCAGGAACAGAGTCTGAAGCAAGGTTGCTAGGAAGAGGTTCTCAAGCAAGGTTCCCAGGAAGAGGTTCGCACGCAAGGGTTCGCAGTTGCTCTTGGAAATTTTGCTTGGGAACCAGCTCTTCCTGGGAACGCTTGCTTGGGAACCTGTTCCTGCAAGCCTTGTTCCTGCTTGGAACCTTGCGCCGAAACGGTTCCTGGGACCTTGCTTGGGAACGGTTTTTGGGAACCGTACTTGCAAGCGGTTCCTAAGAGCTTAATTAGCCTTGCTTGGGAACTTCTTCCTGGATACCTGCTTGGGAACCTCTTCCTTGGAACTTGCCTGGGAACTTTTTCCCCAACAGCGTAAGGTTGAGGTCTTCAGCCACCCTAAGAACAAGATTTCCAGTCAAATTTACCAGGAACAGGTTCGCAAGCAAGGTTACCAGGAATGATTTCCAAGTCAGGTTCCCAAGAACAGGTTCCCAAGCAAGGGTTCCAGAAACAGTTGCCAAGCAAGGTTCCCAGGAACAAGTTCCCAAGGTTCCAAGAACAGTGCCTCAAGTTCCCAAGCAAGAGTTCCAAGAACAGGTTTGCTTGCAGGGTAGCAAGGTTACCAAGCAAGGTCCTTGGGAACAGGTTCCCAAGCAAGGTTTCCACGAACAGGTCCCAAGCAAGGTGCCCAAGGACAGGTTTTTTCAAGCAAGCTTCGCAAGAACAGGTTCTCAAGCAAGGGTTCGAAGAACAGGTTCCCAAGAACTGGTTCAGGTTCCAAGAACAAATTCTCCAGGAAGGTTCCGAGCAATAGGTTGCCAGCACGGTTCCCACGAACACGTTCCCAAGCATGGTTCCAGGTTGCTCATGTTCCCAGGAACAGCTTTCCAAGAACAACTTGCAAAGCGAAATTTCAACCAACATCTGCAAGCAAGGTTGGAAGCAAGAACAGAATCCCAAGCAAGGTTCCGAAGGACAGGTTCCTAAACAAGGTTCCCAAGCAAAGTTACGAAAACCAGGTTCCCGAGCAAGGTCCCAACGAACAGGTTTGAAGCAAACAGGCAAAGTTTCCAAGAACAGGTTCCCAAGAGAGAGTTCCCAAGAACAGGTTACCAGGCAATGCTCCCAAGAGCGGGTTCCTAAGAATAGGCTCCCAAGAACAGGTTCCCAAGCAAGGTTCCGAAGTGTCAAGCAACGTGTCCAAGAACAGTTGCCCAGGCAAGGTTCCAAGAACATTGAACAACAGAATCAGGAGAACTGCAAAGTTTGAAGACTTGTTCTAATAACGGAATTGAGAGATTGAAGAAGAACTAGTTTTGCTTCAAAACATGATACGGCACTCGCACATGGATAGAAACACTAGACGACAGCGTGGCATGAAAGAAAGCAGGAGGGAAGAGACGAGAAGATCATACACAAGAAAAATGATGATGGTGGTGATGATGATGATGATGACGATAGTGATGGCGATGACGATGGCGAGGATGAATGGCGATGGAGATGATGATGAATGATAGCTGACGCGAGTCAAATGTTATATATATCCACGATTTCATGCCTTTTTTCTCCCCGCAGAGGGTTTGCTCCAGGGCTGGCACCTGAGCGACAGTCAGAATCAAAAGACACGTTGTCTTTACACAGCGAAAAAAATACACAGAGAAGATTTTACACACAGAAGCCTTTACACAGAGAGGGATTTACACAGAGCAGCTTTTACACAGACGCTTTTGCACACAGACGCTTTTATATACAGAAGCTTTTACACAGAAAAGCCTTGTCACCACAGAAAGCCTTTAAACAGAGCAGCTTTACACACAGACGCTTTTTCACAAAGAAGTTTCTACACACAGGAACTTTAACGCGCAGATGCTCAAGCTTTTACACACAGGAGCTTTTGCACACACATGCCTTACAAAAAGAAGCTTTTAGACACAGAAACTTTTACAGCCTTTTCACAAGAAAGCTTTTACACAGAAGCTTTTGCACAGAGATGCCTTTACACACAGAAGCTTTTACACACAGAAGCTTTTACACAGAGAAGATTTTGCACAGAGAAGCTTTTTCACAGACAAGCGTTTGTGGGAAGGAACTTTGAGCACAAACGGTTTTTACATACAGCAGCTTTCACACAGAGAAGCCTTTGCGCGGACCAGCTTTTACACTTAGGTTTGTTTTCACAGAGCAGCGTTTATGCGGAGCAGCTTTTACACACTGAAGCTTTGACGCAGAGAGGCCTTTACACAGACAGGGCTTTTACGCACAGAGGTTTTCACATGGAAGCTTTACACAGAGAAGCTTTGACACAGAGAAGCGTCTAAACAGAGCATCTTTTATACACAGAAGCATTTACACGCACAAAAGCTTTACATACACACAGAGCTTTTACACACAGACGCTTTTACGCATAGAAGCTTGTTCACAGAGCTTACAGACCGAAGGTTTGACGCAGAGAGGCCTTTACACAGAGCAGCTTTTACACACAGACGCTTTTACACAGAGATGCACAGAGCAGCTTTTGCACACAAACGCCCCCAGGCTTTTACGCACAGAAGTTTTTACACACAAGCTTTACACAGAGAAGCCTCTACACAGAGCATCTTTCAAACACAGAAGCATTTACACACAAAAGCTTTACACACACACAAAAGCTTTACACACACACGCCTGTACACACAGAGCTTTTACACACAGACGCTTTTACGCATAGAAGCTTGTTCACAGAGCAGGGTTTACACAGAGCAGCTTTTACACAGAGAGAGGCCTTTGCACAGAGCAGCTTATACAATCTTATACCCACAGAAACTTTAAACACGCAAATGCCCAAGCTTTTACACAGACAGGTCTTTACACATAGAGGCATTTACACAAAAGTTCTTCACACAGATGCGGCAGATGCTTCTACACATAGAAGCTTTTGAACACAGATGCCTTTCCACACAGAAGCATTTACCCAGAGAGGCTTTGACATATACACGCCTATGCACACAGAAGCTTTTAGACACAGATGGTTTTTCAGAGAATCACAGAAGCTTTGA